CTTTTTGCCATTTATTTCCTTTATAAATGGTATTGAACTTTACAAATATTATGCTTGCACTTTTGCCAGTGTTTAGTATTAGCAGGACACGGGAGTGGGAAAACAAGGCCAGAGATACAAAGCAGATGAACGTCATTCCTACTGGTCTTATCCAAACTGATGCACAGAGGATCGGCACCGACATTTAGAGAAGGGGCGGTGTGCTGAGCTCAGGTAGCACACGCCACATCTTTCCCATCACATAGCTGGGAGATGTGGCAGGGGACTGGGAGAGCTTGCTGGGGGACTGGGGGATCTGCTGAAGAAGTTCGAGTATCAGAGGAACAGGAAGGTCACAGTGGAAGTGAGAGTGCTGAAGTAAGCTGACAGAGAGGAAGGAGGATGGAGTGTCAATGTGTGAAAGTCAAGCTTCATCAGCCCCATGGACTGATTTGTTTCACTGTCTTCACTGGCCAAAAAAGCAAGGTCCTTTCTGATGCAATAAGACACAGGAAAGTTATGTTTCTCTCTCATCACTCAGTAGCATCCAGCTTTTAAGATCAGGAGTCAGACAGCTGCAAGGGCAAGCTCCCAGCTTTGTTTCCCCAGCGTCGGATTTTCTCAGGGGGATGCAGGAGAGAAACACCTGCTGCAACTTGGTCAGCCCTTGCACAGAAAGAAATGTACTGATAGGCACTGTAAAAAAACAGGCACAAGTGGTTGGTATCTGACAGGAAGAACAGCCCTGGCGATGGCTGCAGCAGCTGCCATAAGGCTCAGATGTTGACTTGAGCCTCCAGAAAGATCTCCCTTGCTGTACAAGATGCTTTGGCTGATCTGGATCTCAATGCAGAGAGAAAAAACACATCTGGCAATTTCAGACTTCTGGTGGTGCCCATCTAAGAGTGTGATCTACATGAGCTTGAAGTCTTAGTGGGAAAAAACAAAAAGTAGCATTAAAAGGTTAAAAAATTGGAATTGCAAGGCTCTTCAGAAATCTAGTCCTGAATGAACACCTTCTGCATATCCTTGGAGCTAACAGAAGTGGAGCTGGAGGGGATGAAAGAAATACAAAAGCATGAGTAATTGGAATAAGTAAACACTGACTAGTTCATTTTTCCTGGTGTTTGCTTTAGTCAGATTTGTGCATATAGAAAAGTGACGTGGGACTGAGCTCACTCATTCCACCCTCACACTTCAGCACATGGAGTTTGCTAATCTAATCTGGAAGCTTATCCTAAAATAAAACAAGTGAAACCAAGAGAGTATCAGAAAAGGGAAATAACAAACTAGTTCACAAAGCACGATTTCTGTAACAGCTTGCCCTAAAAGCTGAACCTACCAGCAAGATTCCCAGGGAATCTTTTCAGCTCAGGGCTCTACAATTGCACTCAAAGAGAAAACAAAACGTGGGCAGTAGATTAGGAATCCACCAACAACCAAATGCATGTGGCATAAAGTACGCTTAATTCTGGACTGCTCTCCTCTTTTGCTGGAGAACAATCTTACCTCACTCGGCCAGGTGAAATGTACATACCAATAACGTTTAGAAAACATTACACATGCGTTGATTTTGCACAAGCTGCTGTGCACTGCAAGAGGGTCTGTAGATTGCAAAGCTCCCCCAAACTGTGTAAGGAGGAGCAGAGAACTGCTTCCTGCTGAAATAAAGCCCTTCAGAACAGCTAGTTAATAACTAACCGCAAGATGCATGGTAGGTTAGTACAGGAAATAAGCTCATTCTCCGTGGAAGAGCAGGGGGACATGAAGTAAACAGATTGATGTCGTTGGATTTTGGCCCAAATGCTCACACTCTACAGGCATGCTGACCACTGGGTTTTTCGCTGGCACGGCTCACTGCCACTTGTCCTCTGTTAGCCCAAACCACCACTCCTCTACCAGGGCCGTGTATTCATGGCAAGGTCTGAACGAGAGAAGCAAATCCTGCTGCCCGCAGAGCCACTTCCTGCAGCACGCGGCTGCAGCTTGCATAGCTTCTGGCAGCCAAACAGATTGCAACAGAGATGACAAGGACTGAGTGAACGTGTGCTCCTGATAAAAAATGTCCATCTGCGAAAGCAACACTTGTAGACAGATGAGAGGATCTGTGGCAGTGCTTCTGTCAGCAGGAGGGCCCAGCCTGCTCATAATGTAGACACTGCTGCACCAGCGTGGAAGTTGTAGCCGCAATGAATTTCATCTCTTTCACAGCAAAGCACACCCTCTTAAAATATATTAGGGTTTTTAATCCTTTGGTGAATTTATAGTACTTCTATGCTCTTTTCTGTTCTGAAATCTCAACCGTCCTTGTCTGTGGTAACTCCAAAACTCATTGCACTACCCCATTTTCTTTCCTAGCTATCGCCTCTTCACTTCGGCATCAAGTCCCGCAATAGGAGCCTCTCTCATAAATATTTTACTTGGTCGTGACTAATGCAACCTCTCCACCCTAGCAACCAGGTATGCCTGGGGTTTTGCAGTTTGAAAACAGAGCAGTGTTGTCATACAACAGCCTACACTCTCCAGAGATAATACAGAACACTTCAAAAACCACTTTGACATTAATTTGCTACATTTGTGCATTTTCTGGATCATCTTTTCTACAAACCGAGCCACAGCTTTGGATTCTGAGAAATCTGTTTTGTGCTAGAAATCAACAGGTTTTCTAACATAACCTCATATAGCTGCAGACGAGGACTCACAGAGCTCATTTCAATAGTTTCTTCCTTCCTCAAAGTTAGATATTTGTTAATTGTTTGACAACCTTCTGCTGTTGGCAGAAGAACTTCCCTGTGGATCAGTGTAAGATAACACATGCATGGGAAAGTAATCCAAACCAAAGCTCCTTGATGCTGAACCTGGAAGTAGCTGTCACAGCCCACAGAAGAGATCCTGAAGTCACTGTTGACAGTAGTCTGAGATCATCAGCTGAGTGTGGGTCAACAGGCAAAAAAAGCCAACAAAGTGTTGGGCAACATCAGAAAGAGTGCTGAGAAAGACAAAAGGCATCATTTGGCTGCTTTGTATCGCCTTGGCGTGCCACATACCAAGTCCAGCTCGTGCACTTGGTCTCTCACAGGAAATGGGAACACACCCTTGATTAATCAGTGCAGATGTTAGAATTAAACCATGATTTGTGATGAGCCTGAATTGGTGAAACATGTTTTTGCTGCCTCCAACCCCAGAAAACAGCAATGAAAGAGATGTAACATAGACATCCTGGGGCAACAAGTTCCACTTCCTTCTGAAATAGTGGCATTAACTCATGTCTTTAGCACTATCTCCTGATCTCATGGATTACAGGTAGCTAAAGATTACCCCTTTTGCCTTTCTAAACAAATACTTTACAAGTACAGCCTTGTATCTCTATCAGGCTGTTGCTAAGGTTTTACAAATGCATGATGGCATTTTACCAGTCGCATCCTCATGCTTTAGGATAACCTCAGAACTTGATTTAAGATGACTAACATGCCAAGAAGTTTAATTCAAGTGCATCTATGTCTTTCCCTAGAGGCTAGTTACATTGCTTCCATCTGCAGTAAAACTGAACACATCTTTATTGACTACACCCACTGCCAACCTGCATTTAAAAAATAAACAACAAAAAAACCCTCTTCTATTAAACAGTATTTTGCTCCTTTGGTTTGTCAACAGATTTCAACCCTTAATTTAACCTGCACAGATGCTGGAGCCAAGAAGGGATTGAAAGATCATGACCACGCTGTTGGAAAAGAGCAACCAGAGATTTAATCATTACTGAAGTGTAAGCCTGCTCTGGCCATTGTCTAGAGCAGGAGCGCCAGCTGCGATCACAGTGTTTTATCTATGTATGGTTACACTTGCCAGCTATAGAAAACTGTTTGAGAAAAGTTAAGATTTCACAAACAGTTCAAGAGGAGAAAACACAGTAACTAACAGATGTCTGCTTAAGACATGTAACTCCTTGAGCTCCAAGAGCAAGTTCTTGGCTAACAATACCACTCCGTCACCAAAGCTAAAAAAGAGGCACTTCTGTAGTTTATGTTTCACTCTAATAAGAAGCATAGTGAAATGCAATACACTGCTCTCATTTTAATTTATTGTCTGTTGCTCCAGGAGTTGAAAGAAAAGCCAAATAAGTTAAGAGATGTGTGCGTTCAGAATGGGAAAAGCCAACTGACACAGTTACTTTGCAATGCCAGTGTTTAGTTTCACATCTATCCTGTTATCCTTCCCGCTGTTATAAAATGTTCCGTTTTTGGAGCAAGTGGTGATGCAGCACTGATGGACATTTCAACACCTTCACTAGCTGTATTACACTTAAGGAAAATCCCAGTGCAACTGCTACATAACTGAGTGAAAATCAATCTCACAGACCCCTATTTCTGCTGCTGGCTGCCCCATCACCACCAGAAAGAGGTCGGAATCGCTAAGGTAGCTCCCAGGTTTTCACCTGCAGAGCAGCATTGCCAACGCCAAGCCCCACCAATTGCACAGCGTTCGGCTCCTCCTAGCGGAGCAGGGTGTCATCGCAGTGCTGGCCTCTGAAATCCACCGAGCTTCATGGTGCTCGAATTACAATGTGCAGGAAGTACTTCATAACCTGTAGCTGCCTTCTCTTCAAGAATTCCGATTCTAAAAACACTTCAGTATTCGGCCATCACACTATTTTGATAAGTCAGAATTAACGGCTACAAAAATCAATTTTTGGATTTGTTTACTTTTCTAATAAACATGTTGGAAAATAATGATGTGGAGTAGAAATACGCTTTTACTCTTAGACGAGTTCTTTGCTATTTCTAACTGTGAAAGACTGTGACCATATTTTCAAATAAGAGTTGCCATGTGATGTGAAGATGCACATTTGCAGAGCAATTGCTTGATGGTTTAATCTTGGTGAAGGCGTAACCAACAATATTCTCAAGTTTTGTTAAGGAAAGCACTGATTTCAGAGAACACTGGATCAGCCAAGCACTCAGACTATCATGAGATTATAACCTACTCTGCTAGGAAGGCAAAAAAAAAAAAGTAGTACTTTCTGGTGCTCTTCAAGACTACTGGCAATTTTATTTACTCAAATTCAGGCTTATCTTTTCATTATTGTGTTCTAACAGCTCACATATACAAGTAGCACAACTTTTAGGTACAGTACAGAAAACTGTATGTGCATCAAAATAAACCATAAACACTTGATGTCAACATTTTTCAATGTGACGCTTCTCCAAAACAAACTCACCAGGATGTAAATCAACAAAGATTCTGCTTCTGCATCTTCTCCTTGCAGGAAGAAGAGCTTCTCACGGAGCCCACTTTCCTGATGCTCAAGCACCACAAAGTGTTTTCCTGTCCAACAGCAGGAAACAGTCTTATGAATCAGAAGATCCATGAGAGATTTCAGGACTTTGTATCTTAAAACACAAATGCAGTTTTCGGTGAACTTTCATTCCTTCCAAAGAAGCCAGGCTTTACTGCTAACAGGAAGTCTCAGAAGGAAAACCCAACCCAGACACAGGTTTATGATTACAGCAGCACTGGATTACAGCACTACTTACAGCACAAATCTTCCTCGGAACAAACAGCACACCTATGAGAACTCAAACATTACCTTGAGATCAAGATGAGCTCAAATGTGTGTATATGAAAAAAATACAGAAATATCCAGTGCCACATTCTAGTAATACAGAGAGAACTTGGTTTTGGATAAACCAAATATATTTGAGATTAAAACAATTTTCCATATGTATCAGTACTTGGGCAAGTTAAAAAAAAAAAAAAAAAACAACAAAACAGGTACCTTTACAATACAGGGAGAGAAAGATGAGACTAAATATATTTGACTGCAATTTCTTACAAGAGCAGGTCTCTCAGACAGTAGTTGACTCCACTCAAGTACTCTACATGCAAACCCTCCTTCCTGTAGGTCTGTGCTGCCTACCTATTCTGCTTTCTCTGCCTTCTGCCAAAGTTCAAAGTGCTCAGCTAAGACCTCAGCCTCAGAAATTCTCACACTGAGGATAAGGAAATGATTTTTTTTTTTTTTTGTCTTAACCAGTTATAGCAAACATGACCTTAACAAAAATACAATTCCTATAGCCCCAATTATCTGGAAGAATCTTTACGGTTAAGATTTCAACTTCTTGAGAAGACATTTTCTCTAGTTTTGAGGTAGCCTTTCTCTCTGTTTTAAGAGCTCGATCTTACACAAGCTGCAATTATGCTTGCAGACCAGGTTTAATACAGAACTGCCCTCCGCCATCACACTCTTTGGGTTTTGCTTTGTAGCCATTTGTATGTTGATAAATCTAAAGCTAATTAAGGAGATGTGGCCATTAATGCAACTGTTAAATAAGGCAGAGAAGTGCCATACAAAAGGAGGACGCGATCCTCCTTCTCATCCTTCCTCTTCTCCATGTTTCTACCTGTCACCAAAGCCTGTCCAAGTTTGTTCCTTTGGGTAAAAGTAGCTGATCCACAAGAGCAGTGAGCCCAGGAAGGCAGGAGCCATTTAAGACACGTAGAGCCTAAGGCCACTTAATAAGGAAAGGTGCGCCTGCTCTCTGTGCAACAGCAGGAAGCATCATCTGGAACCAGCCAGAGCAATGAAGAAGCGGGTGGGGTTTTACTTATTCTTTCAGCTTCTGGAATAAATCAGCATAGCCTCCCCCGTCCTGTGGTCTGGGGAAGTGAGCTCCACTGTCAGAGACTGCAAAGGAAACTAAGGCTTTCTAGCAGTAAAAACAACCCTGCAACCCCTCACCCATCACTCCGAGCACTTCATATCCTTCCACTTGTTTATTGAGAAAGCTCTCACAGAGATGATCTTCCTAATCCTGCTCTCAATACAGGTCTGCAGTTCTGGTAGTACATTCATGATACCACATGGTAATAGGGTCAAGTTTCAACACTGCTGTAAAATCAAAGGCAAAGTTGTCCCTCAGCCCCATCGTGCTATAAGTATTTTACAATGTCTGTTCCTAATTAGCAATTTTAAATGTGTTCTTTTACAGAGCCCACACAAAACTGTAGTGTAATAGGCCAAATGTGGCATCTGCAGAAAATGCAGCATAATTACAAGTTAAGCTGCATTTTGGCACCACGATTTCTTGCTACTGCGGAACTCTATCCAGCCATATAACTTGCAAAGCTCTCAGAAACAAAATCTACCTTCTGAATATGACTTCTGCTGAATGGCCTCATACATTCTGTGCGTCAGTTTAGATTCATATTCAATGAGAGGGTACACACACATTACAGGACAAAAAATTCCAACTATGACTATTCAGTAAATTATGCACTGTAGTGATTAAAACAAGACAAGCCCCAGAAATAATAAACATGCCTGATGTATAAACTACATGGGAAATTCTTCAGTGACATGACAAAGAATTTGTGGTTTCTCCCCCAATTACAAGCAAGCAGAGGATTTGTCAGACATTCATTTTGCAACTTCTACTGTCCAGCCTACGCCTCCTTCCTCTTGATGATCAGAGGCCCAACGTTGTCGCCAGTTTCGTCATTGTGCTGTGTGTGAGAGCCATCACACAGCGGGAACTGGAAGAGAAAGAAGAGACACACATTAAGTGCATATAAAGTACAGTCAGAATTAGGAACCTACACTGAAAGTTCAATGGAACGTCTTCTCATTAAATCTGCTGTGATTGCAGACTTGAACTTTCGCACCGGCATTTCAGGTGACCCTGAATTTTGGCTGTACACTTAGTTCTGCCCATGTGAGCTCAGAGTGGACAAGAAGCTTGTCAAAAAACAAAGCAACTCGACTCCACTGCATTTGGTATTCCAGCCTCAGGTCAGCAAAGTGAAAATGCAGGTTACAGTTGAAGGTTAACTCAGACTACGTGAAGTTACTTGCTCCCAACATTGCCCGACACTCTATTTTCCTGAGCCACAGCCAGAACTGAGTGCAGTTACAGAAGTTAAGTGGGGAGAGGAAAAGCAAAAGAATTAGATCCTAAGCTTTTTTTCCCCACTCAATTTTCTCAAGTAAAAGGACAGCTTCCCACCTCATCTCTTACTTAAGGGAGACACTGACAGATTAGTCCTGCCACCAGACAGCTAGAGTGGCAGGCCTTCTTTGCTTCATCTGACGTAGCCAGCTTGTCTCACCAGCACAAACGTCCATTTGCAAAAGCTGGATTCTACATCAGGATTTTGACCCGACAATGGAAATTAAACACACTTCCTGCTGACATGGTTACTCATCAGGGGCTTATGAGGGTAATACTGAGGAAGTAATTCAAAGAAATGTTTGTTCCATCAACAGAACTGGAACAGCCTGGTCAGAGCAAGACCCAGAGGGACTCCTTTAACCAGCTGTAACTGCCCAGGTCCTGGATTGCTTAAAACAACTCTGCTCCTGGACAGCTCTTTTCATATGCAAGAGCCAAAGGATATTCTGTGAAGGAAGGAGAGTTAGATCAGACCCCACCACTTCTCAAGGATATGTCTTCAGGGCTGTGCCCTTTCTGCAGAGGAAGTTCTAGAGACAATCACATACATCACACTCGTATTTGTATTCAGTTTCTATTGTGTTTGCTTTGGAATAATTGGAATCCAAGTTGGGCATTATTAAGCTCGCGCCCTTAGAACACCGATATTCCCTCACAGTAACCACCAAACCAACTCTGACATTCTGGTGATCCCAATATTAATTGCCTAGTCAAAGTCCTTGATTAAAATTGATGCCAAATCACCCATGCTTAAGAGCCTTCCAAGTATCGCATAAAAGCAATATCCCTAAGACAACATACTAGTGAGAAAGAAACGTTCTCAGTACTAAAAATAAAGGCCTGCAGGGTAGGGTGGAAGCAGAGGGAGTGGTGAAAGTTTTGTTTTACCACAGTTACAAAATGTCAAAAGCCGTGCTATAAATGGCAGGTGAATTTTCTAAATTAAGAACCCCCAGATTTTGGAGATCACATAGGCCAATTCACACAGGAACTTCATTGTCAAATCAGTTATTAGTGACTCATTGAGTAGGTACTGACAGACACTTGGCAGAAATTATACCCTAATTTATAGGATATTCATCAGCTTCTCACCCAAATGTTCCTGGGCCAGCTGTTTCTCCATACAGCACCGCAGTCTATCTGCCTTTGCAGAAGCACCTACTCAGCTTACAGAACACACATCTCACATGCCCCAAAAAGACAGGCCCACAGTCCAGCTGCAGCAATGTCACTTGAAATCTGCAGGTGACAAAGATGGTAGAATTCATAGTCATTAGCTAGCATCAAAGTGTCTTCAACAGCTACCAACTTTGACAGCTTTGCATCCTCTGGGCCAGCTGATCTCCAAGCCGCTAGCTCCCAGAGGATGGAACACCAGGCACAAAAAAGCAAGCTGCATACAACACAGAGAACACTGCATTTTTTTTTAGGGCATCTACTTGGTCATCTTCAAGACTGAAGCTGGGCCTGATGCAGCATGTTTATCCTTGTTTAAGATACAGCAGGCTAGCAACAGCGATCAGAGCTCAAGCCCTGGGGGAATTGTGCAGTGGTCTGGACAGCTCAGTTTATTTCCCTTGACACCAAACAAGTTTGTTTCTTCCGACGCTCTGCAGCAGCTCTCAGCCTGCAGCCTGCGGACTAACAGTGCTCTGGAAGACACACAGATTGCAGATAATTACAAGTAAACCAATTAAGATGCCCATCCCCCTCTCCTCAATTAAAAAAAGCAGAAGAAAACAGATGTTCTAACTGTAGATGAATTGCTGTCTGGTTTTAAGACAAAACTCTTGCCTCTATACCAATACTTTTTAACAGAGGACTTTTGCATAAAAGTCCAAAAGCAATGCTATGAAGCCCCTGCAAAGCACAATGCTGAATAGGAAAGGGCCATTTAAAAAAAGCCACCTACCACCCACTTTGATAGGCTACTACAACCCAAAGCAGACTTACCTGAAGGTACCATGTTTCCAATAAATAAATGTTCCCCACAAAGGATCAAGTAAGAAAACCCACACAACTGAGGATTAACTTCCTTTTTTTAAGCTTCCCAAAAACACTCTCCTCATGCAGTCCAACTGTTTCTTCCCAGTATGAAGCCAGCTGGAGTGCACACACACCATCAGCAACTGAAATAATCTGTGGTGCATAATGCTACAGGTTCCATTAACAGACTCATGCCTCAGATCAGGCTTAGTCTGCTGAGACAAGCTTACACAGTCAAATAATGCACATTCTAAGAACAGACTCATCATATCATATCCCTCATTTACTTCCTTTTAGCATGAGATTACAGCAGCCTCTGCAGGGCAGTATGTTCCTGAGCTACAACACCCTTCAATGCATGGCAAAATACACTCAATCAGATTCTGATTTCACACAAAAAAAGACAGTATCAGACAATAGCTAGAATAATGGCAAGAGCTGCAACGCAAACCCTACATCCAGACATCCCTTCTATTTTCTAGAGGAGGAGACAGTTAAGTATAAATACCACGCACCAAGTTACAATTTCTTTTATCACAATGTATGGGAACTGCTGAGTCACAGCCTGAACCTCTGATTGATCACCTGAGACGAGCCATGAGCCAGCCAGAGGAGCACAGGTGAAGGCAATTCAGCTGTGCTGCCAGAAGGGGTGGAGCCAGGCTCCTAGGCCTATTTAAGAGCTGGCTACCAGTGGGGAAGGATCTTGTCTGGAGATCCCTCCTTCTGGTGTTTTGTGGTGAGCCCAGGATAAGGGTAAGCCTTCCATTTATTCTCTTTTGTTATCATAGTCCACTTCACCTAACTCTCTTGTTTATATTGTGATTGTAACATCTTGATATCCATTGATTATACACAAGTACTGAACTCCAGTTCAGATACTACCAATTGCAAATACTTAGCACAGCTTTTTTTCTCCACCTTTCTTTTTTCTGAAGCTGTAGCATTCCGAGCAGCTTCTACTTCTGGCTCTCAGTTGAGATTTAACCCACACATTAGCACCTCGACTTCAAAACAGCTTTTAAATGCGTGCTAGTTGTAAACAGACTACTCACTCCACTTTCTCTCATTACAGAACCCAGAACTAGCACTATCCATGTATTAAGTCGATCTCAATAGCATCAAAGGTCTCTCATCTAACTCAGATTTAAAGCTGATCTTAACAGCATTTCTGAAAGGTTAGGTATCATGCTTAACACTGACGTTAAGCAACTGAGGCATCTTCATATGCAACCAAATTGGACAAACCCATGTCTAGGTCAGACACTTAATTTTCTAAGTGTGCTAGCATGGTTTCCCTGGCTATTCTGTAAGATTAACCACAAAACTATGGGTTGCAAAGACAAATGCTTTAAGTCCATCCGTTTAGATTCCTCAAAAACTTCTGGATTTGCTTTTGGATTACCTCCACCACCACTGGAAACAAACCTGCTGCTGTACTCATTAATGTAGCAAAAGGCATTGCACACAGCAATAAATGCAGGACAGCACCATGTGCACAAGCAAGGCTCTTCCCAAACCAATTCTGTATTCTCCCCATCTATGTGATTTAGTGGTGAGCTCAAGCATGTCAAGCAACCATTTGACACCAGCTCTGGTATACTAAGAGACTTCTTAATGTCTTGCTTTTCCCTATGCAAACTAGTAGCAAGACATCTTCTGACTGACACAGTAAGCTTCCAGCTTCACAGAATCGCACAGAATGGCCAGGGTTGGAAGGGACCTCAAGGATCATTAACCTCCAACCCCCCCGCCACATGCAGGGCCACCAACCACCCCATTTAATATTAGACCCCATTTAATATTAGACCCTGCCCAGGGCCCCATCCAACCTGACCCTCAGGCTATGGTTCCTGGGTTCTCCTTCATCTACCAAAAGACCAAGAATTTTGGATAAACTTCAGTGGCAAAATAATATCTGATATTTATGATTCATTAGTCTGAAGAGTAGCTGTACTCTTCAGTGAAACTGCTTCTTCACAGCCACGGAAACATTGTTTTCACTATTAGTGCTGATCTGAAGGTTTCGCTCTCCATAAATCTACACAGCTTCAAGGACTGAATTATTGCTACATCTCACTGCAGAATGTAAGCCAATGTGAAAAGAAGCTAGTTTCTGCTAAATGAAGCAGTAAAATGGTTTTACTGAAAAATGAATAAGTTTCCCAATGCTATTGATGTGCACGTTTCTCTTACCTTCTTAGATCTCCAGCAACGACAGTACACAGCCTTGTCTCCCAGATCTTCCATATCAAATGCGTGAACTACCTTGGGGTTATCCTTCTGGATATGGAGATTCACCATTGCCTTGCAGCATTTGTCTTTAGAGATAAATTTTTTGTAAGCTAGATACCCAACAGCAGCTGCTCCAGCAGCTAAAGAGACTGCAGCAATCCATTCAACTAGAACAAAAAGAAGAAAAAAGACTCAGTTTGCTGACCACAATATTCTATTAAAATTCCTCCCAACAGCAAATGTCTCCATGCTCAAGACAACACCTCTAACATTCGAAGAGATCTTTCTGTTCTCCAGGCAAAACACAGCATTTTTTATTTGGACACACATTGAGTTAATCTGCTCTTTTCCACTGACCAGAGCGCTCTCTCACCTCAGTCCCTTCTATATAACAGCGAGGATTAAAGTGGCTGGATTGTTTGTTTGGTTTTTGGTTGGTTGGTTTTTAACTTTTTCTTCATCAACCCTTGATATCAACACTGGAAAGTACAGTGTTTCCAAGCTCAGCACACTAAACTATAAGCCAAAAAAACCTGTTTATTGTTTCAGTCCTAAGAAGGTCACTAAAGACAAACACACAGCATCAGCAACCCAGACAGACCCCTCCAGAGTACAGGTACTGAGTAAATTTTTTATATAATGCATGCTGCAACCAAAAGAGCTTAACAGGTGTTTGGCAATGGGGAAATTATTTAATTTACTAGCACTCCACAAGGGTAAGAAAAAATCAGCTTAGATTAAAAGTCTGCTGTGGTGGTATGGAAAAGAACATGGATCCAGAAGAATTATATTTAATGGCACAAATTTAACCATGTTAGGTCCTGGCTCTATGAAAGACAATCGCCATTAAAACCACCACTACCTCCCACCTGCACTTTTTTCCCCCTCTTGGAATCTCTGATAACTCTGAGGTTTTGCTCAATTGTTATCGTTTCCTTTTCTACAAGGACCTTCCCTACTTTTTGTGGCCTCATGCCAGTATCCTGGACTTTGGCCTAACAGTTCTGGCTACCCTAACAGCACCTGCTTTTTTTTTTTTTTTCTCCTTTTTATCCACCATTTCTGTGCGCATGTGTGTTCCTGACATGTATAAAAAGAGTCCAGTTGACTCCATAGACAAAAACATGAGACAGGAATTTAAGTTTTAGCACATTTACACAGCTTAAGAAAACTAGAACAGTCTTCCGCTGGGAATTTCTCTTTTACCCCCCAAAGCCCATACTGCATTCGACAGATACCAAGCCAGAAGGTCTCACCAGAGCAAGAGACACTACTGCATTTGATCTAGGATAAGGAATCAAAAGCATCTGTCAGCTCTCGCTGCTTTCCAAGGGCAGCTCACCATACTGACGCACAAAGGTCTGGATGTAACACCTAAACGCAACCAGTCAAACGCCTGTATTATGAAAGCAGCCCTGTAAGACTTGGGAAAGGGGACAGGCAACTTTGCTAAGCGTCTCACTAGGACAGAACGAGAAACAGAAATCTTCTAAAGTTCATTCTCTTCGTAAGCAGAGCTTAGTAGCAGAGCTGTGCCACGCAGGACAGGAGGCACGAGGCGGCACTACTCCCCACACGCACCGCTAACCGCCCGCCGCCCCGCGCCGTTAGGCGGCAGCCCGCGCCTCAGCCGCCAGGCGGAGCCCCGCCCGCCGCTCCCAGCACATCCTGCAGCGCAGAGCAGGCCGCTGCTCCTTCACCGACGCACAGAAGCCACACGAATTGATACCCACGAACCCTCAGAGCCACACCCTGCTCCCACAAACACGACGGTCGTTCACGGAGCCCCCCGCGCCTCGACCCGCGGACCCCTCCCCTTACAGCCAACCCCTCAGGGGACCCCGCCGCCATTTTGTCGGCTGAGCACTAACGGGCAGGGCGCCACCCCCTCCTCTCCCGCGCAGCCCCTCAGCCCCGCGCGCACCCGTACCCACCCCGCACGGCGCCATTCTGCCCTAGCCCCATCGCTCCCGCTCCGCAGAGGACGCACGCAGTTCCGCAGCGCGCATGCGCCGCACCCCGCCCCTTTTGAATGCTTTACGCCCTGAAAGACGCGAGGGGAGGAGCGACGAAGGCTCGCGGAATCCGCAGGCGTCAAGGCTGATGAGCGGGCGGCAGAGGCGAACACCTCCAGGCCGCAAGGGGGCAGCGGTCGCCGTGCAGTCGCTCTGTTCATCGCCCACGCTACCCAGCGTGCCACGCGAAAAGCGGACACAAAGAGCCCGGCGCCCCTCCCCGCGCTGTTATTTCCCGTTCCGTTGGTGCGTGCGGATGCCGTTAGCTGCCCGCCCCGCCCCCCGCCGCGCTCCTCGCTGCTGTCGCCTTGCGCTCCCATGGCGCTGAAACGGATACAGAAAGTGAGCGGGGCTGAGGGAGGCTGCCGAGCTGTGCTGCTGCTGGGAGGGCGATTATGCGGTTGTCTCCGGGTGGAGGGGTGGGCTGGGTTTGTCGGAGCGCCGCGGCCCCTCTTCGTGCTCTGAGGGGAGTGGGCGGAGGGGGGAGGGATATTGCGGCCACAGGGCTCCTACCGATACGCCGTTGTATCGCGACAGATGGCAGCAGAGGGGCGGCCTTACGACATGGGGTCAGTCAGGGGAAGGCTCGTGAGGCGAAGGTGTGTCTCTGAGTTTTTCCATGCGGGTAAAATGGCACCCGTTGGCGTTCAGCGATGCTTGCTGAACTTTTACTGAGCCTAGCGGGGTGTGAGCACGGTGTGGCTGTGCGGGTGTACAGGAGCACAGCACGCAGCCTGCTGGTCATCGCTGCCTAAGGTACAAAGCTGGTGGGTGAGCGTGTGGAAAAAACAGTGTTTCGTAGCTGAGAACGTGCTTTATCAAATAGCGTCTTTGTGCTTCTTGTGTCTGTAGTAATTTCTGTGGAATTAATAGGAGGCGTTACTTTCGGAGCAATCAAGGTGTCAATGACTGTTTTTTTTTTCTTAGCAGTAAGCTCTGTTGTGCCCCTGTGTGACTTGGGAATGCTTGGTGTTTTCTCAGCTTTTTATTTTCTCACTTTTTCTTCAAGAACTTCTCTAGTTATGTCTTTGGAAAGGGGGATTGTTCTGAATGCCTGCTTATTTTTGTTCTGTCAGGATGAGCAGACAAAGCAAATCTTCCAAATGAGACCTTCATACCATGGGGTTATTTGCTGTATTTTTCTTACACTTTGCCTGTGTAGATTTTCTGTCTGCTTTAATCACCTCCATTTGTACTGGAAGGCCACAACTTTCTTTAGTGTGATGTTTACAAGCTCTGTATTCAACAGCTGTAAAATTTATCCTTGGGAGAGAGCGTTTCATGTCCTGTTAGTCTTTCTGCATTGCTTTTCTGTTCTTTGAAAGTGAAGAAGTGCTAACTTCAAGGTTGTGTAAGATTTCCTGGTTATGCAATTGCTTTCATCTGAAATGTGGAGTGGTACTGGAGAAGGAGCTACTGAAAGAGTTGAGCTTAGATCCAAACCTAGCTGCTTCTTGCTTCTAGTTTGCTGCAGGAACGACTACTTCTGGGTTACTTCTCAATGACTCTTCATCACAGTCTGCTGTTATTCCAGGAAAAATAAAAGCCAGTGCTGAACTAATTTGCCAGCAGCCTGACTCCAGAGCAGTTTTGTAAGAAGTCACTTGCTGTGGAAAAGGAAAGTGGCAAAGAAATAGGGTTGTTTCCAATGGAAAGTTGTAGTGAGGAGAAAAAAGATAGAAAAGATCAAGTATCTTCATGTTGCTGCTGCACATAGAGCGGTCCTAAAAAATGGTGGAACTGGGAAAAACTCATACTAGATTAAATGTATTTGTGTAACAGTTTGCTGGTTCCTGCTGGTTCATGGGGGAACTCTGTTGAGTACTAAGTGCTGTCAGCACAGTGATACTGCTTGGGAACTTTTTAGTCCAGACATACAATCTCCTTAACCAAGGTTGGGTAGTTTGAGGGTGGTTCATAACTGTGCTTTAACACAGCTGAGAGGCTTTGGGTGCAAGCCTGAGTGTTGGCAGTGTGGTAGTTTGCCTTGTCAGAATGATAGCACCTATGGAGGAAGCACAACTGCAGGGCACAAGTATCTGTCCTTGCTTTGCACACAGGGACTGACTGGGATTTGGGACTGATATTTAAACAGTACTGCTGCTGTGGCCTGTGTTGTTTTGTGCCTTCTTTCACTGGTCTGCTTTGAGGGACTCCATAAAGGACCCCTGTGGACTTGAGGGCTGTACAGCGATAATGGAAGGCTGTGAAAGAACAACCCGCTGCTTGGTGGATGTTAGCAATTATGTAAAAGAAAACCAATACTGTAGGTTTTAGTTGGGAGGGATATTTTTCAAATGAGTCCTTATGGTTACTGCCTCTGCAAAACGGATACAATGCCATTTTTGTGCCAAGGAGGAGATCATTCAGGCTGCTGGGTTATGTAAGTTGTATAGGTCAGCTCTGCTTATTGGACCTGTATGGAAGCATTTCTCATAATTCCTGCTCTGAGTTCTCTCTTTACTTACCTAGTTGTGAGTTTGTTATCCTGTCAGTTCTGTGTTACAGCTGGTGGGATGGTTTTCATCCTATGTCCTGTAACTCTGGATGCCCCTCTGCTATTAATGAAAAGCTGATTTTTTTTCCTGTGCTTAATCAAATTGTGAACTGCTTACAAAACCTGTATTCACTTGCTCTTGTTACCAGCATTAAAAAATTGGGCTTCTTCAGTTAGAGATTTTGAAAGCAGCAACATCTCCTCTGACACATTTGAAGACTGGTTTGAAAATAGCTGTTGTTTTTCATCTTGTCAGCATAGTGCTTGATTGTTTTTCTCCTGCCACTCAGTAAGAATGGAGGCGTTCCAACGTTCAGATATGCTGTTGAACTGAAAGTCTGTTTGTTTCAGTATGTGTTTCGTATGCATAGATGGACAGGACATGCCAGCTTACATCTTTATGTTGAAACTAACTTGGGTTCTGCCCACGAACTGTTGAGCTGCGTGCTTTCTTTGGGTGGTAATAAACACACTAAGGAAACTTTTGAATCCTTAATATGAAATGTTTCCATTTGCTTCCAAAACATCACTTGTGACATCAGAGAATAGATTTTGCCTTACACAGTGTGTAAAAATAGGTTAACTCCTTTGTTACTGGAACGAACCTTGAAGGATGTTGTGATTAAATATTTGTTTTGTGTTCACTGAACTTAGAAAGAAAAGAGACTCCTTTAACTTGTGTACAATCTGGGCTTTAGTTGCTTTTCTTCAGATAATTCCAATCACTATTAATACAGGAGCAGAGGTGGATGTATGCTCTTAGTAGGAAGTACAGTGCATTTTATGCAAGAGATGAGGAACATAGTTGAGAAACTGAAAAACCTCTGTTTTAAATAATGGTGTGGGAAAAGGCTCTGGATGTGGTTTCATGTAGCTTAAAGAATTAAAATAGCTTTTGGTGATGCTGCTCACAGTCTATTTCTGTCTCCTGATAGCCTGCAGGCTTGTTTAGCAGTAAAAATGAGGCATATTTTTAGGACTCTCTTATTAGTACCCCTGCTTCCTGAGTATCCATAAGTACTGTGCTTAATATGTCCATCTCCCTGTTGTCAAAGTATCTTTTCCAATCTCATTCCAGTGGCTTTGGAGGAGCCAATATCTAACTGTATTTAATGAGGCACACAACTGCTTGAGCAGCTGCTGTCTTCACCAGCTTTACAATTCTGAAGTGCATTCTGTAATACACTTCAGCAGTGAGCCCTTGTCTGTACATTCAGATGTACTTCCACCTTTTACAATTTAATGTAGTTTTACGTCAGTTCAACTTGACTTATAATTTTTTGTCTCACCTTGTCCACAGATCTACTACAGTGTGTGTGGTGTGATGAATAAAAGATGTTCATTTGGAGGCTTTGCTGCGTCCCTCTTCAGTAGCTGATGGTTAACATCTCTATCATTGTGCTGCTGTTCCTTCATTAGCAGCCCCGGTGCTGGATCCTGCTTACTTTCAGGTTCTGTAGTTTGGAACAGGAGAAATAGTTTGTTGCACTTGCTAATTGCAGCCAGTTTGTGGCATAGAATTAGCAATATTTTATTCTGCTCAGTAATTTTTTCAGTGCTTGAGAGGATTAGAAGACTTACTGCCAGCAGTGTTCTCAGCTTAGTTGTCTTCTCTATCCAAGTTGATTATGGCTCTACTGGGATAAAGCACAGCGTGCTGGTTTTAATGGACACTCACTGCTGAAATTGTGTTGCTTTTGTGTACTCGCACAGAAGATGTTGCTCTGTTGTGTGCTGTAATTCATGGTGTTGAGTTTGCCTTATAAAAGTGGGATCTGTAAAGCTATGAGTTACAGCTCCTGTTTTTAGCATGCATACGTCCAAGTCTTGAACCAGAGTTTATGTAAATCATGAAGCATCTCATGATTCTATGGAGCCATCACAGCTGTTCTGGAGTTCAGCTCTGGACACTGGTGAATTGCTCTGACTTGCAAGGAGGCAGTCAGAATTTCTCTCCCCGGCATTTCAGAAAGTGTATGAAAGCTTGAAGCCTACCCAAGTTGTACCACTCTCCAGATGATTTGCTTGGAGTGCAAAGCTTCAGCAGCATAATTAACAGTACAGCACAGAATAGTTGACTCTCATCTCTACTTGATCTGAGCTGCTTTATGCAAAGTCTCAAACTGCTATGCTTTCAAGTTTAATTTAGTAAGTTTGATCACATTTGTATTCCTAAAGCACATTAGTGTCAGTTTGTCATTTTTCGAATGGAGAATGTGGCGTGAGTTTGGACTGGCTGTTTGGTGTTTTTTTTTTTAAGGTATAAAATCTATCTTCGTGTCTGAATATGGTTTGTGCTTAACATGTTAGGTTGAAGAGAGATTTTCTTCCTCCCAGTTGGGAAGTAACAGGATTGCATTGGTCTAGGTCTCATCAAGCTGTGATTAAAAACATGTTTTTATTGTGGACAACTATCAGTGTCTTCAGCCTGAAGAAGCTGGAAGCGTACACCTTTCTAGTTCCTAGCAGTTTGGAAGTACGAGTGTTGATGTGAATGAAGGAACTAGTGTGATTTTTGGGATGTGCGAAGGTCTTAATGAAAGCATCCAACAAATAGAAGTGGTGTTGTAGACTTGTGACTCCAAGATGAGGTGCCTGCCTTGCAGCTGTGGTGGTGGGGCACACGCACGAGGAAATGTGTGCATGTGCTTTAGAGGTGTTGAATTGAACCCTTTTTCCCCATTGTTGCCTTAAGCAGTCAGATACAATTGCTTTAAGATGGGATTTTTAGCTTTTCTGTTGTCCCTTTTGGCCACCTGTCTTGTGCAGATAACTTCCTTGTTCTCACTTTTTGCATATTAACTCAGTCTTCTCTTGTTGGACCTTGTGTTGCAAGCTGGAGCAGTGGCAGGAGCTGTTCATGGAGTCTCGTGATGCCTGGAAATTTGAGACTGGTTGACTTCTTGTGCAGGCAGTGACTTGGTTACCCTTCTGTGTACTGCTCCTTCATGACATTTGAATCCACAGATAAAAAGGCACTTGGACAGGATTCTGCTCTTGTCTCTTAGGCTGAGCCTAGGCTGGGTGCTGCTTTGAGTACAGCTTAGGGTTTCCACCCTAGCAATGAAGCTGGGAGCTGGCAGTTCACCCTAGCTAGCCTGAGCTGTGTCACTGTAGCAAAGAACTCTGTTTTCAATCATGTAGTTGAAGGAGTGACTTAGCGAAGCTGTAACTTCGTGCTGGCACTGAAGAGGCTCAGTACGCTGCATGTCTGTCTGTGTGGGGCCAGAAGTTAGCTGTCAGAAGTGTGCCCGAGTTGTGGCGCTGGGCGCCTTGTCCTTGGTGTTTGAGCTGTCTGGAGAAGGGCACTGTGAGTCATTCACTGGATGCTGTAAAATTATAAATATATCCCAGCAGTTGCAGTCCAGTTTTGACCCTTCACCTTGTGCAGGAGATCTGAGCATAGTGCATACACTGGTTTTACTTGACGTCACCTTGGTGCCTCTTTAAGCCTTGATTTTCATTTTGCAATAGTTTTCTTGAATGATTTTTTGGGAGATGGAAATGCTTCCTGTTATTCCTTCAAATAAACTTGAGGGGGGCATTTTCAGACTTGCTCATGTTTGTTACTGGTTTAAATATGTATGGTCTTGGTTATTGGTTGGGTGACTTAAGAACAGTAATTTAGCATTCATCTTTTTAGCTTATTGCAATGCAAGTATTTAAATAGGACTGTTAAACTCACAGCAGAGCAGTTCCTAGCAGCTTGGAGTTGGAGTGTGTAGCTTGTTCTTAGTGTAGTAAAACTTCAGATATCAAAAGTAATATATTGAGTCAAACGAGGAGAATGAGCTGTATTAATGCCTGACCTATTTTACATTTGGTAAAGGTGACTTAGATGAAAAATTGAGCTGCTTCTGTATGATTAAATAAAAATTCTAAATTACATAAGGCAGTGTGAGCTTGTGTAGAAATGAAAGTCAGCTGATGTAGCAAAGCTGCTCTGAGCACTTCTGAAATTCCAGCTTCCTTCAGGATTTTATGTTAGCCACTTGGAAATGAAGCACGTAGGTAATTGCATCAAGGTACATTAAGGTGTATAGCTCCTATTTCTGTTGTTTCTCTAGTTCACTTAGCATCCTTTCATACTTGATAGGCACTCTGCAGTGACTTTATGAGCTGGTTTTACTCAGTGAATGTGCACGGATGAGGTGAATACATGACTATTTTGTCAGATCAAAAGCTAAAGGAACAGTTGGATTTCTATATTGAGCACTGATTTTACAGAGAAATCCATTTCTTTCTTTCCATCAATGCTTCTGTAGATCCACACCTATTATGAGCTTGGTTGCAACGCTTTAATGCTTTAAGGTATTAAATATATCTTATATATCTTGTATATCTTGTGTTTCTTACAGGAACTGAGTGACCTGCAGCGAGACCCCCCAGCCCACTGTTCTGCTGGACCTGTTGGAGATGACTGTAAGCTCCTCCTGGGACATTGCCATGGCTCACCTTATTTCACTTAAGAAAAAGCTTAGAAAAGCTCTCATTATTTTATCTTTTTGACTTGCAGTGTTTCATTGGCAAGCCACTATTATGGGACCTGTAAGTATAATAACTCATTCCCCCTTAAAAAGCAGACTTGTTTTCATTTACGTGGTGGAAGTTTTCATTTGGGTTTCTGTTAATGTGGCAGTCAAATTCAGCTGTACTGTGTGCTGGCTGGCGATTTGGGGTTTACTTTGTTGGTTTTGGTAGTCTGGTACTACTCTTCTTTTAACTGGTCAAAAAAGTCTGTCTTCTGCCTGAAATTAGGGATGCTTAATCAGTCAACTGCAATGCTTGAGTTAGTTGAAAGATCTTTTCAAAGATCATTTCAATTGTGAAAGATATAGACACAGAAACATTATAGAAATAGAAAGATATTCTCTGAAAGGAGAAATAGTTAACATAATCCAAACTCTTTAAGTTGATAACTGTAAACAAGATTGGTGTTGTTGATATGGGGACTTTTAGAATCTAGGCAGTGTGATGTGGCTCTGGCAAAACAGGGTGGTTTTTGGGAACCCGAGGCCAGAGACTGTGAGTACTTCTGGTGTTTGTGTGAGAAAGATGTCGCTCAACCCAGAGAAAACCTCTGAATGATGTGATTTATGATTAATGACCCAAGAAAGGGTAACGTAGCTTAAGAACAGAAGTTCTAAAGAACAATGAGCAAGGCTGTGAGTAAGAAGAATGAATGAAAACATGACCTGAGAGGGTGTTTACAAATACAATGGCAAGAAGCTGGTATTCCTGGTGTTTTTCTTATGGATGCAGTAATTTAGGAGGAAAAAGCTTCTGGTTCTGATTGAGAGCTGGGAAATTGAGACAGGACTTAAACCAGTGAGATGCAGTGGTGGAGAAAAGTGAAATTGTGACTCATTTGGGGCTATTTCTGCATTTTCATCACAGTTGTTCTGAAGCAGTAGAAGATCAGTGGGTGTTTTGTCAGTGGCAGGCTGGAATCTGTTGTGATGACACAGCAGGAGCTCTGGTGATCATGAAAAGCTTTTCTATAGATAGTAATGCTTTTGCCATTGTTCTTTTACAACCACACTCCTTCACATACCCAGTCATTCTGCTCTTGACCTACTTGCACTACTGAAAGGTGAATGGCAGAACAGCAAAGAATATCCAAGAACATAGGGTTAAAAAAAAGCTTTGTCGCCAGTATTTGTATGTCTGTCCTGAATGACCCCATTAAGGGAAATACTAGTGTTTAAATTCCAACTAAAATTATTATTCTTTCTATAGTTTTTAGATCACAATTTACTTTTCATGTCCTGTAGTGGAAAATACTGTCTTGGCTTCAAGTTCCTCACATTTCTGTAGCTTAGAATAAGAATGAGCAGCCTTTCTCAGCCACATTTATCAGCATGTTATCCTTTGTCTCAATAATGTAAGGAAAGAGGGGTGCGCATCTGTCCTGCATGTCTTCTGAGGGGCTGAGAGAAGCATAGGACCAAAACTTATTTGAGAACTCACATATGATGTGTGTGACTTCTGTCTATTGGCATCATCCATTTTATATACCTTACCTACTAAGAGTGTGAATCTTGTCTGATCTTAGCTTATTTTAACTTTGACAAATGAACTTAGTATGCATGCAAGCAGCCACTTCAAACCTAATTTTAGGTACAGTGACAGTCTCTTCTGATGTTACTTCACGCTGGCTTCTTAACAGTACTATATATAGGTTGCCTTACATTATGACAGTCTGCATTTTGAATGCATAAGGAGACTTTCATAGCGACCATTGTTGTTTTTACATCTTCTATTCATCTCTAGAACTGCAATTTCTGTTGACTTCTAAGGTGTGAACATGATATTAAAAAAAAAAAAAAAAAAAAGCCTGCATTTGTTCCCATAAGACAAACCACAAACTTCTCCCTCAGCTTTGCTGAGGCTGGATTCCCCTCTTGCCGTTTTGAACTTCTCAAGCAATAAGAGATTTTCAGGTATTCTTCTTCCCTTAATTTGAACTTGAAGCACAGCTTTTTGTCATTTAGCATTGAGACTTCTTTTCCCAACTTTTCTAGAAAATAAGAATGAAAAATCTCTTCAACAGATGACTGCAACAAAGTTATTTCTATCTATTAACTGTGTGCAGCCTGGCCGTAAACCTGTGCACATGTTCTCTAACAAAATGCATGTTCACAGATTTGTGCAGGTCACAAAGATGTTGTGTGTTTTAAAACTCCCTGATGTCATCATGATCAACTGAATTATGTTGGAAAATCCTACTCTTTGCATCTGCAAAGAGAAACCACTTCTCGAGGTGAGTATATTTGTAGCTTAATGATGGAGGAAGATCCTGAGTATAGCAGAGCGGCTGTGGTGTTGCACGGAGGCGGGATGTAGAAGACCTGCTGTGATCTTTGTGTTCCCCTCAGTGTTGTGGAGCTGAGCTCCAGCAGCACCTTGCAGCCCAGGCAGTGAGGAGAGAGCTGGTTTGGAGCTGATGGACCGGCAGTTTTGTAGCTCCAGCGGTCGAATGCTGCTCCCTCCTTTAGCCTCCGTGAAAAGGGCAGCACTCAGTAGCCGCATTGGGCTACTGCAGTAGTAGCCATGGCTGACTCTGCTGTAGCTTTGCTTTCCAATGGGAACGTTCAGCATCCTCAGTATGGACTGTGTACTGGGGATAAAAAAGTTGACTGCGATATTCATTGCTTTGGGAGGTTCTCTGCCATCTGAAGAGAAGCTCCAAAATAGCTGAAATGTATTAATGGCTTTTCTTTTGTTTTTTTCCAGCCTGATAGCGCGTATCAAGGGGGAGTGTTCTTCCTCACAGTGCACTTTCCAACAGACTATCCTTTCAAACCCCCAAAGGTAAGTGCTTTCTCTGCAAACTGAAGCAGTTCTTAGGTCAGAGCTTTGTATCTATGTCCTTGCCGTTTGGGGCTCGCTTCTCTAAGTAAAAACCAGAAAGATAAGGGGAGAGTACATGTACAATGGATGAACACATAGGACTGAATCCTAAAACTGAATGATAAAGTGCATGACTTCACAACAGGTTGTGTTGCATATGGAAGATCTAAGATGTCTGGAACTGAAGAGAGTGTCAAGGATTCCAAATGTAATAAGCATTTTGATGTTAGCTGCAAATTTTACTTTGTTTAATTTCAGATTGCTTTTACAACAAAAATATACCATCCAAACATAAACAGTAATGGGAGTATTTGTCTTGATATCCTGAGGTCACAATGGTCACCAGCTCTGACTGTATCTAAAGGTAAGCTCACAGATGTGCTAATGGATTTATGTCATTGCACACACTAGTGTTTTTTTCCCTGTGTTGCTGCACTGTCCTGGGGGCCGATGGGAGCTCATCTATCCTGCCTGTTACAGAAGGGGCTAAGTCTATTGGAATCCTTGTTATGAACCAGTATCTGTTTGGAGTGTCAGATGGTATCATGCATTATGTACATAACAAGGAAATGTTCTGAAGCAAGTTGAGTGAGATCAAGTGCAATTAGTCTGAAGTGCAGCTTCTCTTTTACAGCTGACTGTGCATGCAGAAGGAAGGAGAAATCTGTGAACAGAGCTGTAAAACCAAACAAATTTGAATGTAAATGGGCATGACTAGATACTGCTATGTGGAGGAGCCTCTTTGATTGCTTATTGAGTTTTCAAGGTGGCTTTTGGTTGCTTGAATGTACTTGTGTAGGCAGAGATCTTAATCACAGCGTATTTTAACAGGCACTAAATTGGTCTGATTTGCATTTCTCTAAGATGAATTTTAAGATGTAGCTGTTCGCTCAGTCATCGGTCAGAGCTATATTCTATCTTGTCGTTGAATTTCCTCAAGCTGATACTCTGGATTTTTTTTGGAACGTTGAGGCTATAGCCTTTTTTGTAGGCTTTTTGTGTCACATCAAAAGCTTCTTCAAGTGTGGCTGCTATCACTGTTTTTCTCAGCCATCTCCAAAATTCTTAGCCGTGCTCTTAATAATTTTACACAGAGTGCTAAAAAGAAATGACCTGATGTTCTTGTGTGGAAAGTATTAGAAAAATCAAGTGTCTCTGGTGCAGTAGCAGGAATTGAAATGGAACCATGAGTGAGTAATAGAGTATTTCCCCAAATGAAAGTCGGGCATGTATCAAATAAGTGAAATGTTCATTGAAGGAAAACAATGGTCAGCACAGAAGTGGAGAAGGATTTGCATGATAGCCTAATATTAATGATAATGTTAATTGCAGCTAGAAGGGCTTTCTTGGAAAAACATTTTGTTCCTCAGTCATCTGTAGTATGTTCTGTGTTGATAGGCTATAAAACATGGGGAAAAAATGACTACAAAAAGTGCAGGTGTGTAGATTGTGAGTTCTCTGGGCTGTTATCAGATAGTGTGTTAGACCTAGAGAAATGATGCTGTGTAAATATTCCTGAGCAGAACTGCTGTCAGAAATCTTGATATTCGTGCATTTGCTTTCCAATCTTCCTTTCTTCACTTTGTGTGCTGGAATATATAAAGAATTACAGAAACCAAGTGAACTAACTTTTGTCTCTTCTATTTAGTTTTATTGTCCATATGCTCCTTACTTTGTGATCCTAATCCAGATGATCCTTTAGTACCGGATATTGCACAGATCTACAAGTCAGACAAGGAAAAGTGAGTATAACACAGACATATTTGTGTGGTACTTACAGATGGTAGCTTGGATTTTGGCTATGCAACCTGTCCAACTTCCTTGAGAAATCTCTATATAGATATCTATAGTAGAGTATTGGATATTGAAATATTGAAAAAATCTATTAGTAAAATGACAAGCAGGAACCTGTAGGCATATGCAACTATTAGATATTATTTTGTTCCTATTTGCATAATACCATCATAATGTTAGGGTCATTTATTTTTTATCACATGAAAAGATCAGTTTTCCATCTAGGAAGTACTTGTTACTGCAGTCTTATAGGTATGAATCCTATGCATGTAGTATGATGTCCAGGTATGAACAGTGAACTTATGTTTTGGACACAGTTTTATAAATGTAGGACAGAATAGTGCTTTGCTTTACTTTGTGATAAGGATTGTTGTCATATTCTACAACACCTTGTGGAGAGAAAGAACCTCTCCTTACTTTCTGGAACACTGTAGAACATAAAGGAAGTTTCTGATCTCGGGAGGGTAACATGGGCAGCAGGTAACTGAAGTGCTACATGCTCATGGACCACAACTGACTTAGAATTGGGATGTTATGAATCAATGTAAGCTTTTGCTCTGGGGTCTTCAAGTGCTGAACAGATGAAAGTACAGAATGGAGAATAATGGTAATAATCATGGTGCCTTCCATCCCCACCCTTTCCATTAATTATTCCATTAATCATATTGAATTCTACCTGAATGTGTGAACTTTGTCAGTCTGCTAATGGCATACACATTTGGGATTCCACTTAACGTACAAGTAAGGGAACCAGTTGTGAAATACAAGTTCAGTATGCACAAAGATGGGTTTTTCAGTGCAAACCTGTGAGATTAGTTTTGAGTTTGAGTCTAAGTAGCTTTGATAGCTAGCCTTGAAAACCAAACCTAGCCTTTGTGTGCTGCTTTGCTCTTAGAAATGTTAACATCAAGTGAATGTTAAGTGAAAAGTTCAGTGGTATCTGCATGAAGTAAAATGGCCCTTGAGACTTTGTCCATGTCTCACTAACAGCTCTTCACTCACTGTCATGCCTTCTTTCTGCACATACAGATACAACAGACACGCAAGGGAATGGACTCAGAAATATGCAATGTAAACTTGTGAAGACTTTTTCATATACCACAGAGTACTGTAAATTCTAGTTTTTTCAAACTTAGAAGGAAATGGAGCACAGTTTACTGTTTCAACCTACCATTGTGCCCCTTGAATATTTTATTTTTCCACCCATGTAAGTGTGTTTCTGGAGCAGGGGAAAACTTCCAAAAATAACCTTTGGACTGTGACGAGAATATTTATCCTCTTTGTATGCTTTGCAGAAGACATTTATTATGGTTTTTAAGAGTTGGACATCTGCATCTTCAGACTACAAGATCCTTATTGCAGTTGTAAAGCAGCCAAATTATTTTTGCTGGAGAAAAGTAGCTGTTTTTAAGTGATGAATACTGTATGCGTGTCTTTAAGATATATTGTCTGTTTCATAAGTGTGTTTGGATTTCATTTTGCTAGTTCACTTATAATTTGTTTTTAATTGTATAGACTAAATATATTTTATTTACGGTGTAAGTCATTTCATTTTAGACTGACTCTCGTGCACAGTATTGACAAGATACAACTGCTAGTAATGAAAGTAATTGGGATATCCTGCCCACTGGGATGCTCTAAAGACTGACTACAGATTTCTTAAAACCTAAAATGATCTTTGCACTGTAATTCTTTGTATGCTGATTATGGAGAAACACTTGGGTTTGATTCTGTTGCATACTTGACTTAATTTTATTGCAATGTGAACTAATTGCACTGCTAGGTAGAGAAATATGTAACCTTTTTGTTGCGTTTCACAACTGATTTTTGACATGTGGGCAACATAACACTCAGACCTTTTACAGATCTAAATGTAGCCTTTTCCATATAAATAAAATGAATTTTCTACTATCTCTGCTGGCTGTTGTTTGTCTTTTTCAATGCCTGTCCTCAAAATCTTTTCTCATGTTAGAACATGAGAATTTGAAGTGTGTTTACTGTCAACAGAAAAAATCAAACCCTCTGTCAGAAACTCCTTAGACCTGTGTTGCAATTAACTTCCATGCTAGGTTCAGCCTAATTTGCTTAGTGTGGTGTACCTTTCTGTAGGATACCAAGAAATTGACTTGTTTTACATGCATCTTTATGGAGCAAATACCACAATATTTGAAATTCAGTGTGCCAGTTAACAGGGTATATTTAAATATCCAAATGTTACAGTGCTCGTCTCACAGTTGAAGCTTGCTTATCCATTGATTATTGCTTGAATTGCCACAGATTGTATAAAGCCAGTGGTGTTGGAGAGGGATGTCTGGTTAAATAGATGAAAGAACAACTCCTTTCCTATTGTAGATTGCTCACAAACATCAGCTGTAGAAACAGGATTAGTTTTCTTCTGTACCTTGCAGCTAAAACTAGAAGTGACTCGAGGCAGCTGTCAAAATAAACAAGCTCAGATGATGGAAGCGTATTTCACAGTGATGAATGCTGGGTGGCAGCTTTCACGTGGGAGCTGTGGTTCTGCCGGCAGTCCTCCTGCCTGCACGCGTGTAGGCTTTCAGCTGTGTCCGCATAAGCAGCTGTCGTGCTGGTGTTACATCTGCGCTGTATCAACCAACTCTGAAACGAGCTCTGAAAATAGCGCTGTTCACTTCGGATTGCAAACGGATGGAATGTTTCGCGTTGCTATGAAAGGAGCGCTCCGAGCTCTCCGTGCGGGCAGAAGCCAACTGGCGTCGCTTTCTTACAGCTCGTTCCTTCCGCGAGGCGGAGCGCCGCTACGAGCGCAGAGCAGCTCCCGCCCCGCGGGGTCACCTTGGCGCGGCGCGAGGCGGCCCCTCCTCTTGCGTAGACGCTGCTGGGCGGTGCGGCCGCCGCCATCCCGTGGTGCCCCGCGGCGGCGGGCGGGCTGCGGCATGGCGGCGGCGCTGGCGCTGCTGGGCCGGGCTGTGGGCCTCGCTGACGGAGCGCGGCGGCTGCTCAGGTGCGGCGGGATGGGGCTGGGGACGGAGGGGCGGGCTGGATCGGGTCTCCCCTCGGTGCTGACTGTTGGTGTTGCGCGCAGGGGCTGCGGCGTTGGACGCGCGGCGGAGGCAGGCCGGTGTCGGGCCATGAGCTCGGCCGAGCGCCCGAAGCGGCCCCTCAGCGCCTATTTCCGCTTCCTGAAGGACAACCAGCCCGCCTTCCGCCAGCAGAACCCAGGTAGGGCGGCGAGCGACGGGCGTACGGAAATTGTGCGGGAGAAAGGTGCTGGTGGCAGCTTTTCCTCGAGGAAAGCTAGCTGAAAATACAGCGGTTTCCTTTCTGCTCTCTGACGCGCAGATCTGAACACCTTGGAGCTGGTAAAGAAGCTGGCCGGTGTATGGAGGGAGCTGCCGGCCTCGCAGAAGCAGGTCAGTGCTCATCGGGGTGTGCGACCCAGCGCCTGCTGCCTTTGGCTGCTTGCGTGTTATCGCAGACCTGGCTTCTTGAAGCAACTGCCTTTCGGTCTTCTCTGCTTACCTTATTTCTTGTTAGAGGTCGTTAAGTTGCACTGAGAGTTTCAAATAATGATGTGAAACATCTCCACAAACTCAGCTGCCGTTCGCTGCTGTAAGTGCCAATTATAGCAGATTAGTGTTTTGCCGTGATTCCTGTTAGCAGTGAGTTCCTTTGTCGTGAGCAGCTGAGTGCTGACATCCTTTCTGAACTTGTGGCTATTACTACAAGGTTTGTCTTCTCCTTTGTGTGTCAGAAATGGAGGGAGAGATGGTGCTGGTCCAGAGCTTGGTGCTCTGATAACAAGGCCGTGATTTTATGATGCTGCTGTGCTCAGTGCTGGTGGCTGTGAGAGTGCATTTGGGGACCAAAGCACTTGTGTGTTGCTATGGGTGAAAAGGCATTACTTCAACTGAGCTTCAGCTTTCCCTCCATCTGTGGGAGATTACTATTTCATTGAGCTGCATCTGATTTGCCTGATGTCAGATGCTGTGTCATCAGATTAACTAAGGTAATTAATGGGGTGCATCCAGCTTTTAAATCCATTCTTTTGAATTTGTTCTGCTACTCAGACCTAAATGTGATACGGCAGTCTGCAAACTTATGTCGTGCAGTAGTCTGAAGTAAACTAGTAGGTTAGAAGTGTTGGCTTTTGATGTTCAAGTGCATGGATTTGAGGATGCGAGGCACTGTGCTTAGCTGAATGAAAGTATGTTGTTAAGGCTGGTAGTTGTACTGTAGGTTTACGAGGAAGCAAGGAAGACAGACTGGCAAAAATACGAAGAGCAGTTGGCTGCATACAAAGCGCAGCTAACTCCAGCCCAGGTTGCAGCTTTGAAAGAAGAAAGGAGAAAACGGCTGGCAAAAAGAAGATCCTTCAGGATAAAGAGAGTAAGTGTTTTCAGGTAACTTACAGAACCTTGGGCTGCCATGAGAACATGTTAAGGCTGGAGGAAAAAAAACAGCAGTTAAGTGCTTTGTCTTTGACTTTCCTGTATACAAAGGATTCTCATTGCAGAAATTACCTTTTTTTTTCCCTGGGGATTTGCTCATTCTGTTCAGTCCTGCCTCCCACAAAGTTACCCACCTGCTCTTTTCTCTGCAAGCATACAGTATTTCGCACCATAAACAAAACTGTACGAAAACAATAAAAAAAAAAAAAAACCTTACCATCATTACTTTCTTGCAGAGTAGAATTTAATAACAGTCTTGGGTTTCCAGAACCAGACTTAGCTGAAGAATCAGTCTGTATATACCTTTTGGTTGAAATATAAACACTGATGGGAAGTTTTGTGGAAAAAGGTTTTTTGGATGGATTGAATAGCTTTTATTGTTTTTGAAGGAATTGACTGTGCTTGGAAAACCTAAAAGACCTCGAAGTGGCTTCAACATTTTTGTATCAGAAAACTTTCAGCAGAGCAAAGGACTTTCACCTACGGTAAGTAAGCTAGGAAGGGTTTATTTGAATAGTACTTAGGTATAGTAGTGATAGCTGTCATAAAAAATATGGTGAGTGCAATAACTATTCAGTGTGTCTTGGATTCTGTTGCTTTCAAAGTAGTGCTTTGAACTAACATTTCAGTATCTGAATATTCCTATGCTTGAGTGGGTATTTTGTGTTGGTTTTGTTGGAGTTTTTTTTTTTTATTATTATTTTATTTTAATATACCACTGTGGTGATCTGGCACATCCTGTATAAACTCCTGTGTGGAGGTAGAGGCTTAAAATTCTTCCTGTACTTTGTACACATCAGAGCTAAACATTTCATGCATGCAGTTCTACTTTGCTTTGACCTAGAAATACATGAGTTAATCAGATGGTTACAGTGGTCTGCTACCAGTTTTACTGTGGAAAGATGGAGTTTGTTTGCAGAAACACTTTTCTGTGTTAATTAATGCCAGTTTAATGAGGATGTTGATATCTTTCACAGCAGTTAAATCCGGATGGTAGAAATAATTGTGTTGCTCAGCTTTCTGTTTACAAGACAGGTATCTCCAGTCAGCTGAGGTCCAGTTTGACAAGCATGTAGCTCAGTACTTCTGAAGTGATGTAGAATTTCCTTGGATGTGATTAATTCTTGTGTTGCTTTGTTTGAAATTAAGCCAATAGGAAGGATCAGAAGTAGCCGTGTTAACTAAAGTTACTTAATCTGTTAGGTATGCCTGCTTTTGCTGCAGCCTTACTAACTTCAACTATGTATGCTGGTATCATTGTAGAAGTGTCTAAAATGACGCCCAGCAAGCTGTCAAACCACGTCTTCAATTATTTACCTATATCAAAAGTGTGGGGTAATAAGCCTTCATGACTTGACTTGCTTTTTTACACTGTTTTACACCTGGCTTTCAGCTGTAACCCTCTATGATGTCTGGCATTAAAATAATGTTCATGTATTGTGTGTTCAATGTCCCGCAGGCAAAGCTGAAGCAGTTATTTGAAACATGGAAAAATCTATCCAGTTCTCAAAAGCAGGTATGTCTGTGGCCTTTAATTATGCACAGTAAAAGCAATTTTGCACATAATTTTTTAATTTTATCTTGGATACTTTTCTGCCAGCTTTTGAAAGTGTATTTAAGTACGAGTTTGCAGATCATTATTTGGAAAGGGAGGAATGCTATTCTGATATTAAATCTTCATATTTTTTCAAGTTTTCATAGAATTATTAAAGTTGGAAAAGACTCCAAAGACCATCTAGTTCAGTTGTCAGCCCACCATGCCCACTATCCTGTGTTCCTCATGGCCACTTTTATCCTTTTCTTCAAAACTTCCAGGGACAGTGATTCCCCTATCTCCCTGAGCAGCCTGTTCTAATACCTCACCACTCTTCTTAATACCCAACCAGAACTTCCCCTGACACAACTTGAGGCCGTAACCTCTTGTCCTATTGCTGGTATTTGGGAGCAGACCCCCACCTCATCACCACCTCCTTTCAGGCAGTTGTAGAGAGCGATAAGGCTTCCCCTATGCCTCCTGTTCTCCAGCCTGAACCACCCCAGCTCCCTCAGCTGCTCCCTATAAGAAATGTGCTCCAGACCCTTCACAGTTAACATTGCCCTTCTCTAGACACGTTCCAGGGCCACTATGTCTTTCTTGTGAGGACCTTTCTGTCCTTTCTCTTGAATGCCTTTTTTCCAGAGTGTTTTGAATGTGTACTGAGAATATGTGTGAAGTTCGTATTCCTTCTGTAGAAATAACCAACTTGTGCAGAAATACCTATTTGTGTTCTTTACAGAAGCCTGCTCTCTCAGACCAGCACACAAATAAGATGCCTTAGTTGTTAGTAACAATACTGAATTAGCTTCCTCTTTGGGAGTGATTATTTTTCATTGTTAGCATTTTGTGGTTTTGTTCAAGTTGGAAGTTTTTTCAGTTCGCTGGAGGTTAAAAATGGATACCTGGGATGAGTACTGCACAGGTTTTGTAGTTAGTTCCCTTTCTGTCAAAGAGGAGGATGTGGCATGGCACTTACCCAGATACAGCCCCTTAGATGACTGTAGAAATGTGCTTTTCTTTCAGCCATACCTGCAGCTTGCTCAAGATGATAAGGTTCGGTATCAAAATGAAATGAAATCATGGGAAGCAAAAATGCTTGAACTTGGACGTGAAGATTTGATACGTTCCAGAGAACAGCGGCCAAAAAAGAAGACTGACACTGCCCAGGAAGGCTCCAAAGCTTCGCTGCGTGAAAGTCTGGCAAAACTGAAGTTGAAAAAATCTGAAGAATAAAACGGTTATGTATGTAATGTCTCTATCCTGCTGTGCTAATGCTGCAGTCAGGGCTAGGGCTGAAGTTTGGCAAACTCACTGGGGGCCGCTGGAGAGATTGGAAAGGGAAGTGATGGGGAAAGAGAATTTGGTGTCTCTTGGAACTGACTTAATCATGGCAGGTGTAACCTGAGCTGTGCAACGAGAATCAGTTAATCAGGCTGTGAATGGTGGACTCACTGACATCAGCAGAGCTCTCCTACAATGGTAGATGCCAGCTAGCTTTTGTAAGAGATTTTTTTTTTTTATGAAAGCAAGAATATTCTACTATGTTACCATTTGAATTCTGTAACTAGGAGCTGAAACCTGCAATACGCTGCTGTGTTTTATTCCCTCCATGGTAGTGATAGAGAAGGCAAACATTTCAAGGCGCAGGGAATGCCACATGCTAACTTCTGGTTTGTCTTTTTGTATGTATCGATCTGTGTATACCACTTACCTTGTGTTTCATTAAAGACCATATGAATTTTGTACGAATGTATCTCCATTGGAGTGCTTTTCTCTGCTGGAACACCGACCCTTGTGCTTTCACGTTGGTGTGAAGTCACCTTCAGGGAGAAGGGAACGTGTGCACGTTGTCTTTAGATGCTACGAACACCAATATTGTGAAGGGCTGCTGCTTTATTTATTTTTTCTAGGACCTCTTGCTGCTTTAGTGGAGAATTGTGGAGAATCTGTATTTTTAGCAGGGAGGCAATTTCGAGGGATTGGTTTGGGGGGTTTCACGTCGGGAGCTAATTACGAGTCGCCGCGCGTATTTTGTATACGCAGAGCCGCTCCAGGTTTCCCTGAGGCAGAGGCGGGTACCGCTCCGAGTTACTCGGCGGAGCAGCCGCTTGAGCAGCGCCTCGGTGAGGGTGGGGGGGGGGCGGTGCTTCCCGCCTGCCCCACCTCGCGCATGCGCCGTGCCGCGGGGCGGTTGGCGGGCTGCGGGCGGGCTGCGGGCGGGATGGGGCTGCTTCAGGACTGCCAGGCCGCCTTCGGTGCCGCCGACCTGTACGGCGCGCTGGGCGTCCGCCGGGAGGCCTCGCCTGAGGAGATCCGCCGCGCCTATCACCGCGCCTCGCTCCGCGTCCACCCCGACCGGGCCGAGCCCGAAGCCAAGGAGGAGGCGACGCGGCGCTTCCAGGTGAGTGCGAGCGGGTGGGCGGCTGACTGACCGACAGACAGACAGACTGACGGACTGACGGACCGACTGACTGACCGACCGGCCCCACAGATCCTGGGCAAAGCCTACGCTGTGCTGAGCGATGCGGAGCAGCGCGCCGTGTACGACGAGCAGGGCACGGTGGACGAGGAGGGTGAGGCGCTGCGGGCCGAGCGGGACTGGCAGGAATATTGGAGGCTGCTCTTCAAGAAGGTGAGCGCCGCTGTGCTGCGGGCTGGCACGCTGCCTGCTTTTTGCTGCCCGCTTTTTGCTGCCCTCCCTTCGTCTTGAGAACGAACGGCCTAACTCGTGTGGTGTGCTCTCTTGGCTTCAGATCACCGTCAAAGATATTCAAGACTTTGAGAAGAGCTACAAAGATTCAGAGCAAGAGCTAGCGGATATTAAATCGGCTTACATGGATTTTGAGGGTGACATGGACAGAATAATGGAGTCAGTGCTGTGTGTAGACTACACGGATGAGCCAAGAGTGAGGAAGATCATAAAAAGAGCCATTGATGCTGGAGAACTCCCATCCTACAAAGCTTTTGTGAAAGAGTCCAAGCAGAAAATGATGGCAAGAAAGAGGCGGGTAGGTACCAACCAGAGACCAAAAGAAAGCTGTGTGTGCACAATGAGCTTCTCATTTCCGTTGGTGGAAGCTTAGGATGTATATTTGCCACAGGGTTGCAGACTTGCTTGGTACCTTCCTCTTCCACACTTCATCGCCTTTATTTTCCATCTTTCTCCATAACTATTGCTTACACCAATTCCAGTCAAATGATTGAGAGGGTTCAAGTAGTAACAGGCTGCTGCTGCTTGTACCTTCTTTCTTCTATTTCAGTATTATCCACAGTAACTTATTACAGCTCAGAATGTCCCTTCATTCAGTTACAAAGCTACAGTCAGTGGAGCTAAGAGTACGTGGGGGAAATATATAGTTTACATGCTTATTGATGACTGTAAAATAACAGCCTGGGCTAAATTCTTTCCAACTTGTGTTTTGTTCTGTTTTTGTTTTATTTTGACGCTTTGTGCCCTGGACATAACAGTCACCTTTAAAGAAAATAGAATGGCTGCTAGGACAAAAAAAAAAAAAAAAAAAGCATGGGTACAGGGAACAAGGATGGGAATGGACATCAGGTGATGTTCAGCACTGCCAAACAGCAAGGAGCTGCCCCACTCTACCAAACTGTCACTCTGTGATTATTCATTGGTGGCCAAACTTGGAAACTGCATTTCATTGTGGCTCTTAGCGTATCAATGCAAAAGTTAAGTGTTTAGTAACTATTCTAAGATGTGGACGCATGCAAAATACTTTTCTAAAGGCTAATTTGCTACTTCAGGCTGAAAAAGAAGCTAAGGAGGCAGAAGAGAGCAGAAAAGAACTGGGCCTCAGTGATGGAGAAGATGACTTGAAAGCACTGATTCAAGTAAGGCCTTAAGCATCCATTGAAGATAATTGTTCCTCACTTCAAATTGTGTTATCCCTGAGCATCTTTACATGTAGGATCTTTGCAGCTCTTCTTCCGTAAAAGCTTCCTGATGGTAGGGAATCACAGAATCACAGAGTTGTAGGGGTTGGAAGGGACCTCTAGAGATCGTCGAGACCAACTCAACGATCACTAGAGGTCCCTTCCAACCCCCCTGCCAAAGCAGCTTCTCTACTTAGTTAATATTCAGAGTATAGATTTTATTACCTGTATCTTTTTTAAATGAGTTGTTATAATATGTTCATTTTTACTTCATACACATTTCGACTCTTTAACTTTTCTAGTTTTAGGCAGTTGGACAGGAAGTGTTAATGCTTATTTCTTTCTGAGAGATTCCACAAGAATGTAAAACTTGATCAGTCTTAGTATTCTGCTTTTGTGTTTTGGGCAGTGAGGAAGAAAATAGCCTATCTAGGTTCTGTTTATCAGTCTTGCCTTTCTTAATGTCCAGTGGGCTTAAAATGGGACGTTGAAATTAAATGATTCCTCAGATTGTATTAGAGTTTTGGGTCTAAACAATAAATTGGTTGTTTTCATAGCTGTATGTTGTGAATTTTCAATGCCCCTCTTCACCTCTGTCTCAATACTTCACAGAAGTATGGAGTCTAGAGTAGAAGGTAGGCTTTGACTTTTCAGAACTCTACCTTCTGTAGCTTGTATTCCCTACTGAATATATTCCAGAGTTAGAATCAGCTACCTAACTTCACTAGAATGTTCCATATTGAGCAGTAAGAAAAGTTGGTTTTGTTTTGTTTTTCCTCCTCCAGAGCAGAAATAAAGACCGAAAAAAGCAGATGGATGACTTTTTGGCCCAAATGGAAGCAAAATACGGGAGTAACGCTAAAAAGGGAGGAAAGAAGACTGCAGCCAAGAAAGGAAAGAAATAAAGGACTGTGTATGCTGAAGTGTCAGGTATCTTTTCAGTTGGGAACACATGGATTGAGGAGTTTGAGAGCGTGTGTGCATCGACTTGATGTGACTGAGGAGCATGGCGCATTGCAAACAAGAAAGACAAAGCATTCTAGTGCTACTGTTTAAAATCTTTTGGGTGGTTTTTAGTTAAGGTCAAACTAATTCTAGTTTAGTAGTTTTGTTATGGTAAGGAAGTGCTGAGACGCCTGGGATGGCTGCCTGTTTATTCAACCTGTGCTGATTCACGCTCAGGACTATCAGTACTACTGATGGTGAAAGAATGTGGTCCTGCACCTGAGTCTTTGCCACTCGTTCCTGTGACTTTTGAGTTAGAAACCTTATCCTTATGTTGTTCACTTTTCTAACCAATCTCGTGCAGTTTTTAGAGATCTCTGCACCACAGATATTTTTCAGAGATTCCACGGGTTTTATAAAAACTTACGAGAACAGAAGATTTAATAAATGATTTTGCAGAACTTTGTGGTATCTTGCTTCCCCACGTCCTCTATGTTATCTAATCATTCAAAACACACTGATCATGTTGGTACTTATTTTTATTGAAGTAAATACTGCATACTTTTTTAGCAGCTGAGAAGACATTTGCACTGGTAAATGTGCTGGTGTTATGGAGTTATACAAAAGGACCACTTATTATTTATAAACTGATCTTTCACAGTGGCATGTAAGCAGTTGCCTTAAGAAAATGAGACTGCAGCAAGTAGGTGAGTGACTTGGCAGTAAATCTCCTAACACCTTCTAACGTGCTGATGTGATGCAATAAACTAATAAACCCACAGAACACTGGCTTTGTGTGTGTCTAGGGTTGGTGATGTCCCATGATGAGGACTTCCAAAGCCTAGCAACACACCTATTTTAGTGGCATCACACTCCTGCTATAGGATGATAGGGATTACTTCTGACTCCTGCTTTAGTGTGCTCCGTGTTTGTCAACAGCTCTGTTATTTCAGAAGTGCTCTTCTAATATGTGTAAGTATACATAACTTTTTTTTTATTATTATTATTTCTGCTCTTTTAAAACTGCTTTATGTAGTGTATATTCAGGGTATGAACTTGAAGGGTAACTTGCTGTAGCTGAAAGAAATGAGGCTGGCTTTATTTATGGCTCATTCTTCAAAGGCCACATGACTAACACCTACTTGTGAGTTGAAGGTCCCTACCACTTCAGTGATAGAATTCAGCAACTATTTACTAGAGCTTCCTAAGGGGAAGCCAGAGGTAGAATGGGAAATGAGTTCCCTTTTAGCTGCTTTGAACAGTTATCCTGATTCAGAAAGAGTTCAGTAGGTCACTGTGTTGGTTAACACACGGGACTTGAACATAACTCTTGCTATACAAAACAGATATCAAACAGTATAGACAAATCTCTCAACCATTTGTATAGAAATCAAAAGTTACCTTATGACCAGATGGCTTTCATTTTTTTTAATGCCTTGTTTCCTCCCCTAGGCTACAAAATACTGCGTTATGGTTCTAGAAAAGCCTGTTCAAGTTTGTGTAGTTTTGTACTCGTAAGCACTGTGTTGGTCCCTGAGGAACGGCACTGGTTTAAAGAGGATGCTTATCTCCAGGCTGCTTGAGATAACTAAATGATACACTGCACAGCGTTCTGCTAGTCTTAACCATTAGAGAAACTGTGTTTTGAAACAGTTTAGTGATCACTGGCTGCTTTTAGGCATCCACTTATCTCTATTCTACCTTAAAGAGATGTTGATTGAGTCCAAAGCTGCTTTTTCCTCTGGAAATGCAAAGGAAGGAGTTAACCTTCCATTTGTACATTTCTGCTTTGCTTTGTTTTCCATTCTTTTTGATCAGAGCATGCTTGAATCAACTGCATGCTTTGATCAGCAGAACTTCAGTCTAGTTCAAAAATCATTAGTTGTTGTGTAGGTACTGCTAACGCTTAGTAGATTGCATAGCTTACAGTGGAAAGTACAGGAGCCACTTCATTAAAAAATCCTGACAAGTTGTTTCCATTCTGAATTGTAACTTGGAAAATACTAAGAGTAAGGAAACTTATAAAAAATGTTTTTAAATGGAATTATAAAGGATCAACTGTTTTCTTGCAGGAAAATGCAGGAATGTTGTTATCTTCAGCTTGTCTTTACACTTGCTAGTCATCTGTTGCATACTGCTTGGGAGCAAGACCTTCAACTAATCATTTATGTTGAAAAGTCTGTATTCTGTGTTTTCATTTCACTGGGAGCCACAAGAGCAGCTAAGCTGGTCCCTCCACCATGTCTCCCACATGGTGTGTGTGGGGACCTTCAGGATGGAGTGTAGAAATACCTACAGAATTGCAGTGCGAATTTCTTGTGCCATTGTTTGGTTTTTCTTTTTGGGAAATGAGACTGACCTGTTCTGTGAAACTACATAAAACATCTTGCCAGGAAGACAACATACTTCCTTGGAATATTCTCTGGAACTGCTTGTAGTAAGAGTCCTTTTTGTCCCTTAAACTTTCTTCAGACACAGAAGGAGGTTTATATGTAAGCATATAACACAGGAGGGTTCAGTGGTATGCTACCCTTAAAGCTGTCAGTTCCCTTCATCTGTTTTGCTACCTTATTTTTACACAACTGTGTTAACATCTGCTGCAACTACTACAGAAACTTCTACAGAGTTGTAGAAGCAGTATCATATACAAAGCTTCTTTTTGATAGTATAATATTGCTTTAAGTGTATAAATAGAGCTTTAAAAGTAATTTTCAAAGCTACTGCTATGGAATGTGTGATTAACCTTTTGTAGAGCTGATGGAAAAATCAGCAGGTCCTGCAGTACAAGCCTGTAACATGAACCAGTCACAAAACAGTAATAAGTAATAGAAAACAGCAGTGATTTAAAGTACTTGCTAGGTTTTGTAGGCGTTGGGTTTTGCTGGAGGATAGCCTTTTGTATTGGTAGAAAATGGAATGTGCAAGTATATCCCTCCTAATCTTTGGCAGTTGCTTCTTTGACTGTATAAAAATAAGATTGTTTGTAAGGAAGGGTGCTTGAAGACTCTCTGTAAACAGCCCTGACGTTGCTGAGAGGTCGCCCGTGACTTTTCTGGAGGTGGCTGTACACTGCTTCTCATGACACGTTAGAAGCCCTGTTTGTTTTTTGTGACTGATCCACTTCGACTTTGGCCTTTCACAGAACCGTGTGGCTGCAGACCTGAGAAAGACATTGCAGACAACATTAAGACTTTTAGAAGTTACTGAAGCTAAGTACTTAAATGCAGCTCCTTTCGCTTAATACTAAGATGGTGGGGTTTTCTTGCTTCTTATTCCAGCTGTCAGTCAGTTCATCAGTAACTTGAAAACTATTTCATGTAACTTTCAAGGTAATTTGCTGTTTCTTTCAGCCTGAGGCCTTCTTAAGAGGAAAGTAATCAGTTATCAAACCATGTCATCAGCTGGAGCCTTAAGTTTTAGATACAACTGTCCTTCTCGAAGGGGTGAAAGGTAGGACCACTTCATTGCTGGGATCTACTCTGCTTCTTGATCTTCTGTCTATACATCATTTATGTCTACAAAGCTTTTGTAATTTCAGTGTTTTTTCTGTCAACACAACAGTCATAAAACTCCTATTTAAATATGCTGGCTGGAGGGGAGAAAGGAGGAGGAACTCAATCCTGCATTAATTGGAAATCCTCCTTTCTTCAATTAAAAAGAAGTTATTTCAATTTAGTACTTTTATTAAATAAAACTCTGGCTGCCTCTTATACATCTCTATTAATATTAATGTAGGTCATTCAGCTGTTAAACAAGCTGGAAGTCCCCTGCAGTCTCCTCATCAGCACTTAAACGCTTGCTACCCCTTATCCTTTGCAGCTGCTGTTATCTTTTGCAGCTTTAATTCCATCTTTTTACTATACATACTCTTCTTATGTGAGAAATCCTCATAACTCAATTGAGGGCCCCAAAACACACTGGTGAAAAGCATTCTTCTCCCTTGATTTCCTGATGAGCTTACCTGAACCTGTTGATGCTCTGCTTGTCCAAGCATGATTGCCATAATCAATAACAGTGCAAGAACGGCGATGCTGTGGATCTGGCTGAAAAGACAGTTCAAGATCTTTATGTTTGCAAGAAAAAAAAGGCTAACAAGACTATAAAGCACCTAAAAACAACTTGATTGTACTTATTTCCTACAAGAGCAAATTTGCAAGATGCTGTGATGTTCTAAGTAGAGATTTTACATGTTTAAGGAGAGTTAGATCAATTTCAGGAGAAGAAAATACTCTTCTTACACCCTTAGATAGACTGTGGGACAATTTAGAGGGGTTCTTAACACTTCTGAAAATTGTTCTCTTTCAAAATGGGTTTTTAGAAAGTTTGTCCGTTGGTATCTGGAGAGCCAAGGATGTTGAAGTTTACACGGAAACTAACAAACCAGATGGCCAATCACTATCTGTGATAACTGTCAAAGCCCTCTAGTCAGTAACAGAGGATGAGTTGGTATCATACGCTTTACCAAGAATATGCTGGTTGTTTTAGTCCTGGAGAAATGATCGGGTAAGAAGAGCCTCTCGTGTAGGTGCTGGTGAGTATCTTCGTGTGTTGTTACGCTGTGAGCTCGACTTGAGTTTCCTCGAGATTTCTGCATTAAAGAATAATAGCATTATTATTTTTCCTTATTGCAGCAGTACATTGAATTTAATTACCCTAAGAATTAAAGCTAGTTTTCCAAGACAAAACGTTCCACACCTTCTTTCTGGGAGGAAGAAAATTTTGGCACTTATTGGACTTGCAGCATTCAACTCTGGATGATGCTGTTGGTCAAAAATTGTGCAGAATTTTAGCGCATCTATTTCAGCAGCTGTCACAAGATAAACAAACTGCAACTCCTGTGCTTGGTAATTTCATCAGCACTAACTACAATTTTAGCATGTCCAGTAGGAAAATCAAATGGTTCTGCCTGTTACCGTTTGCCTCTGCGATCCTGCCGTGCTCGTGTGTTCTGCCACATCAGTGCTACCAATCGGTGGTAGGAGGTGATTTCGGTTTAGCAGCAGTGGGGAGGGTGAGGTCAGTTGCTCGTGTGCAGTCAGGCTGCAAGGCACAGGGAAGGACGGGAAAACAGAGTTGGTATGCTTGACAGTGTGTAGACATACAGTATTGTAAGTTTGTTTGGCATTGTGTAAGCTAACAGTGTTAAATAAGAGCAATGGGTGCAGAACATCTGCCGTGAAATGCTGGCTTTAGGGCTAACTGTGGAGACTGACTTCAAAAAGTGAGGTGAAGTTTGGCAGAAAACTCTTTAAGACTTTCTACTTGTTAGGGTGTTTAATATTCAGCTTGCGGGTAAAAGCAAGTCTCAGAATGAATACTCTGGTGGTGGGAGTGTACACAGACCAGGTGGTGGATGAACTGCACATCATGTAGCACAGTTTGAAGGGGCGTGTTGTGTGGCTGGTACTGCGGAATGAAAACTATATAAAAGTGTCTCTATGGACCACTGCTGCACAAAGTTCTAGAAAGCAGACACCATCCATATTATAAAGTCTTTATAGCTAGACTCCTTTCACCTGAAAGTTATCTGTGTATTACTGTGCGTTTTCCATTTGAGAAGTGATGGAAATAATCTAGGTTGTTTTTTGTTTTGTTTTGTTTTAATTTAGGACAAGGGGGAATGGTTGTAAACTGAGATAGGGGAGGTTTAGGTTGGATATTAGGAGGAAGTTTTTCACCCAGAGGGTGGTGAGGCACTGGAACAGGTTGCCCAAGGAGGCTGTGGATGCCCCATCCCTGGAGGCATTCAAGGCCAGGCTGGATGTGGCTCTGGGCAGCCTGGTCTGGTGGTTGGCAACCCTGCACATAGCAGGGTTTGGAACTGGATGATCATTGTGGTCCTTTTCAACTCAGGCCATTCTATGATCAGGAGGCCATAGTTCTATGCACACTGACTGAAGGAAGGCTGTTCTGTAAAAATGTATTAGAAAAGCTTCAAACCACAGTTAGCATTTTAAAAAAGAATTTCCTCATGCTTTCTACATGCATTTAAACACATTTGCTAGTATGAAGGGGAGATGGTAAGAACTGCTAAATGGGTGGAAGTGTAAGGAAAAGGGACAGAAATGTTTATGACAGACTGGACGAACGTAGAAGCATAACTTGTACTGTTTAGACACTTGTTCCTGTCCATTAATGTGACAGAGAAGATGAGATTATAGGTAAACTGATAAACTAGAAGGAAATTATGATAGTTTATAAACTAGAAGGAAATGATATTAGTTTGTAAAGCTTGTGTATTCTACAGGTTCTGTAAAGCCTGTGTTATTTTTCTATACCTACAGTCCCTGTAAGAGACTAAACTCAGACCATTATGCCAAACAAAAAAGTCTTCTGAACACAAGTGAAGGTTCACCCAGGTCGGTCAGAGTCATTTAGTTCTTTTCATGCTATTAACAGCTTACCCAAGATGAACACTCCGTCCATCTAGCCTGAGCAAGAGCAGCAAAAGTAAGTTACCATTACAAGCTGTGCTTTTTTAAAGTTTATCTTGAAAATAAGCTATAGAATAAGAAAGCTGTTGTCAAGAGAGAGAGTGCTATCTGCTCTGCTTGGACCAGACAGACTGGAGGATATAATTTTCATTCAAAACTGCTTAACACAATTCATTGAATCACAGATTGTAAGACAGTAAACTAACAACTTCTCTTGATAAATATAAAAAAATACTATCCATTTTTTCTTAAATTAAAAAATTAACATTCTTTCAATTCAACTGAATGCTCCTTGTGTAAGATGGGTTCTCTAGTTGTGGTAATTTGCCATGAGAAACTGGTTTGGAAACATACAATCGGGTTCCCCTGAAGACATCATCCACAGAGCGCGGGGTCGCGGTGCGGGACTGACTGGTGCCGATGGGATGCAGGGTACGCGGTGGTGGGTTTCGCCTCTTGGAGTTGTGAGACAGAGGTGATGTGCTGAGCTCCAGAGGAGGACAATTTGGCCGTGCTTTGTTTGAGAGGATGGAACTGGAGCCTGGGCGTTTGTCATCCAGGTCCCTAAGAAAAGAATCACAGAACAAAAGGAGATAATTTTGCCGTGACTGATAACCACCTTGTCACTGCATTATTCATCTGTGTGTGATGTTAGTAACGTAGAGGTGATCTGGGGTCTTTTTCTGGTTCTCAGTACCATACTTTGAAATTAGAAAACGATAATAAGTAAGAAAGAAACAAGCCTATTTATAACATGTGCATATGCACATACACACACATATATGTATTTACTGAACTATTAACTTTTTGATTGAACATGTCAGCATGAAAGTTGTAATTCTCCATGGCATATATGTAAAAACACTGCAACCAGCAGTTCTCATAGCCTTTGCCTAGATGTAACAGAAGTCCATTTCTAGGAAGTGAGCAAATGCAGAGTGGGTCTGCATCCCACTCTGAGCTTCAGCTCTTTTCACAACATTACAGAATCATAGAATGGCCTGGGTTGGAAAGGACCACAATGCTCATCTGGTTCCAACCCCCTGCTATGTGCAGGGTCGCCAACCAGCAGACCAGGTTGCCCAGAGCCACATCCAGCCTGGCCTTGAATGCCTCCAGGGATGGGGCATCCACAACCTCCTTGGGCAACCTGTTCCAGTGCCTCACCACCCTCTGGGTGAAAAACTTCCTCCTAATATCCAACCTGAACCTTCCCTGTCTCAGTTTACAACCATTCCCCCTTGTCCTATCACTATCCACCCTCTTGCCATTCACTAGAGGGCACATCAGCAGTAATTAAATATAAAGACCACACTAGAAGTATAACATTTGATAAGGGATAATACACAAACAAGCAAGAAAATAAATGAGAATTAATTTCACTGGGGTAGAAAATTATCTCGTACTGTTTTGGATTGAACCCTTTCACTGTGAGAGTGCTCTGCTTTAAAACAGAGAGAATCTATAGCCCTTACAGTGTTTTCTCCATTACAGGCAGATTCCTTTGCTGTAAGTGGATCCCGTGTATCACTATCAAGCCATTTAGGTTACGTTGAGACCCACTGTTTGACCCTTGATTTACCTAAAAGATGAATTAAAAAAAAAAAAAAAAAATTACTGTTTGGCAATGACGTGCACCCATATTTATACGTTTTGTCCTCTCTAAATCTTTTTGAAGGAAAGAAACCTATTTCATCCAAGAAATCCATATACATATATCCTCATTTATACAATTTCCTCCATCTTAGATAGCATTTCATTCTTCTTGCAAATGGTAGTGCTTAGACAGTCTCAGATGCTGCTATGTGACCTTTAGTAATTCCCAACTGAGCCTCTTGTTTGCACAACATGATCTTACAACAGCGGCTGTAACTGGGAGTTGTACACAACTATTTTTTCCAGTGTATGTTGGCATTTACTTTATGTCAAGGACAGACCTGGACACTCCTCTCTTGGAATACAGATTGATCTTGAAAAACATGACATTCTTCCCACCATAACAACAGCAAACAGAAAAGAAAAGAGCTTAAATCTCTCCAGCATACATACTTGAGGTGGTTTTCTCCTCTTTTTGGTTTTGCGGCCACATCTGGGTTTTGGGCACTACACATACAGTAACAAGTATGTGAGGAAGATGCAGGGGGTAGAAATAAAGGAGAAGTAAAAAGAAATAAAAGAGTTGAATTAAAATGGAATGAACAGAGATAACGCTTGGTGCTCACCACTCTAGGAGCATATAATCTAAAGCAGTCAAATTCAGAGTCTGGGGGGAAAAAAAAACAACTGTTGTACAAATTCACCAAGACTTACTCTCTCTTCCCTCATCAGCTAATTACAAATAGGCTAGTGAGAGTGGGATCTCACACACAATCCTGCATCTTACAGTTTAGTTCCAAAGCTGCTAAATGTGGAAAGAGCTGCATCATTAACGAGCAGTCACCACGAGGCATCCCAATACACATGTAAAACAGTCGATTTTAATATTAAAGAGAAAAGTAAGAAAATTTGCAGCTGAGGATTGCACAGGACTTCAGCGGTTAGCAAGGACAGTCAGCATCCATGCACAATCCACACTAGTCATGCAGCTGAAGAGTTTCTGACACTTTTGAATCTTCACTTCTGTAGTATTGTAGCGACTCAACCCTTCACAAACCAGCTGGCTAGAAGTACTTACCAGATTTGATGTTACTGAGGGCATTTTAGTTTGTGGCACACGAGGTAATAGCACTGGCAGAGGATCAAACTGCTGGGGGCTCCCAGAATCTGCTCGGATTGCTTCTACTTTTATTATATTTTTCTCATCATCTTCATAAAGCAAGAGAGAATCCCTGTCAGTACAGATTACTGACACTCTTATTTGTGCACAGTACTACGAGACTCATCTTAAACGTGAAGCTCTGTGAAATCTTTTAAAGGCACATCTTACACTGTTAGCAAATAACTTTTTTCAGCCCTGAAGAGATTATTCCCAAATGCATCTCTCATTGCATCCTTGCAGAACTCAGTAACTAAAACCCCCTCTGAATCTTCAGTCTAACTGCCATCCTTACCAGAGGCTGACACTTCCCAGTGTCTGCTGATCAGTTCTTCCATGCAGCCTAGCACTTCACTCCACACATCATCAAACACAAATGTGAGCACAGAATCCTTCATGCAGGAATATGGAGAGATAGGAGGAAACCCCAATTTTCGTCTACCAGAGCAGAGTCCAATTTTCCCCTCATGCAGTTCCTCCTCCCTGTAAAAACAGGGGCGTTAGATGCATCACAAACACACATTCTTTGTCTCCTGCATTTTTGTTTCACTTCTGCCCTATGTTCTACTAATCTGAAACAAGTCAAGGCAGCAGTTGCAGGTGACTTTTAAAAGTCACCCCTTCCAAATCCTCTGGGGCACCCACAGCTCCATCAGAGCTCAGAGTCTCATCCAGTCTGACCTTGAATGTCTCCAGGGATGGGGCATCCACCATCACGCAGTATCACACAGTCTGTTTTCCAAGAGCTGACAGTGTGATAAACAGCAATATCAAATGATTTAGTCCAACACTGAAAGAAGCAATCTTTTTCCAGTGCTTGGGTACATGAATTTGTATTCCTTCCAGAATTTACTGTTGACTGAAATGTGAAATGACCGAGACAATCACCTTCTCAACTGCACGCCTTAGTTCCCCCATACAGAATCACTATAAATTATATATGCTACTCTTTTATAACAGAGATCAAAGTTGCATTTAGAAATAAATTAGAGTTACAGTAATACTTCTTCACTGCATTGTTAAGTGGAAGGAATGAGAGATGATTGCTTCAAAAAGTGTGTGTTCATCTGCTAAAATACCTTTTGTAAAAGGGAGAAAAAAATACTGATGTGAGCACAGTCGTTAAGGCTTTTGGATCTGTTCCCTGAATTAGTACTTACCATCAAAAAGCTAAAAATGCTGGAAAAAAATAAAATAACCTCTATTTTACCACTATTTCACAGATGCAGCAGTATTGTTTGCTGCAACAGTATCTTTGACCTGGTCAAAGCGTGCCACCTACTGACTTGAATCTCGTGGTCCAGGCAACTAAGGGGCTTCATTTATTAAAACCAATGAAACAGACAGTAAATGACATTATCACCCAGAGCTCTTAGCCAGGCCATATGTTCATACTGTTCAGATGAATAAAGCAAAGAGACAAAAAGAATCCTCTTTATGCCACTCTCAATCCCTTCTTCTTAAGATAAAAATAGTGGTTCTATTTATAAGCAAGCACTGATCGTTAACTTACCACTAAAAACCTGGGAAGGCACAATTCTATCCAAGGTGTTTGTCTGTACACTGCAGTACAAAGCAGAAAAGCACTCTGCTAGTGTATAACAAACAACTATGAATTTGACTTAGTGCAACAGATGCATAGCATTTAAATAAGTCTTAAATACGCCAGTGTGTAGCAGGATCTTAGTTACAGCACAATTGACTTCATATAAGCCACAAACAAAAAGAGCTATTGTGAGAAATTACTTAAATTCAGAAAAATAGAGCAAAATACATCATTACAAAAGACGGATAAAGAAATATTTCCAATGCCCCACCAAGCCCAGGCTTTTGAAAATTCTTTAGAGGAAAAAGCATTTTAAAAATCAATCAATAGCAAAACCAAATATACCTGTATCTTAAGAAGACTAATACTGGGATGCTGGTACTATCTTAATGCTCAAGACTTACACATCTCTGCAGTCAAAAGCTAAATATTCCTCCATTATGCCTTCAGAGACAATTACTCCATCTTCTTCTTCGCTGTCTGGAGAACACAAGGTCGGAGACTTGGAACGGTCGGCCTTCTTGAGAACAGGAGAAACAGAAAGAGGCACCTTCTTGCCAAAAACACTAAATCTGAACAGGTGACAGTTTTCAGAAAGCAGAAAGAAAAAGAAGTTGTTATTCCACTTCCAATAGCAGCACTGAGTTAGCTGAGGAACAACACTGTAGGTAAGATCAGATATTAGGGAGCCAGTCAATTTGTGTCCAGTTAATAAATGACTAACAATAAAACCAGCCACAATATCTATATGTCCTTTAGAAATCAGCAGTAGCAAGAGTATTTCTACTTACTGACTGGCTTACTGTAGAGAGCAGCAAGGACAGCTGGATGCCCTTGCTATTCTGAATGGAGTTTTCTTCAGTTAAAAATGAAAAAGAAAGAAACAACAACAACAAAATAACATGCTTTGTTCAAAACTCAGCCTAACCAAAAAGCTAAACAATAACTCCATATATTGCTCACTGTTTAAGAAGCCAACTACTGCAGTCCACTGAAGGAAAAATCACCTTCCCACCCTGGTACAGTCTGGACCAACTGTTGGTACTTACTCATTAGAGCCTTCTTCCTGTGATGGACTTACATCTGATGAACCTAAACTTGCAGAAGGTGAACTTGAATACCATTCATACCCTTCATCTTTGGGGATCACTATCTGTTTCCCCACAACCCTGCCAGGGCAAAAGCAGAGGATAAATCAAAAAGTGTTCCAAGTGGGATTATGGAAGGATATTAGAACATGCAAAAGCAAATCTTAAAAATTCTATTGGGAAGCTATGCTATTTTCTTAGTAATAGTTAAGCATGGTATTAGTTGTTTACCCTACTATACACTGCTTTGTGTCAGGTAAATCCATTAACAAAAATATTGTTGATTTTTGTCAGGCGCTGCTAATTCTAAGACTTGAATACAGACAAAACTGTTTGTGTACATGTAATGAAGATTTAAAACATTCAAGCCATAAGGACTGGTGGAGCTAGGGAGGATTTCTTAAATTATTTTTAAGCTGGATTTTAACTATACTATATATCTTTTCTAAGAAAATTTTGCTATGTTGAAGCTAAATCAGTTGCAAATAGCACTAAACCTCAGGCAAGGAATCGAATGTGAGACCATAGAATCATAATCATCAAATGGTTTGGGTTGGAAGGGAGCTTGGTGTCGTCTGCAAACATTCTGAGAGTACATTTGATCCCATTGCTTATGTCACTGACAAAGACGTTAAACACCACTCCCAGCACCAATCCCTGAAGAATGCCACTCATCACCAGTCTCCACTTGGACACTGAGCTATTGACCGCTCTGTGATATTGATACTCTGTGAGTGTGACCATCCAGACAGTTCCTTATCCAGTGAGTGCTCCATCCATCAAAACCGGTTTTTTTTCTCCAATTTGGCAACCAGGATGTCATGTGGGACAGTGTGAAACACTTTGCACAAGTCCAGGCAGATGATGTCTACCTTTACCCACTCACACTGTAATTCCATCATGAAAGGTCACCAAGTGTGTCAGGCATGACTTGCCTTTGGTGAAGCCATGTTGGTTACCGCCAATCACCTGATCTTTATTTTCCACCTGCCATAGTAGGCCCTTCAGGAGGATCTGCTCCATGATCTTGCCAGGCACAGAGGTGAGACTGACTGGCCTGCAGATCCCTGGGTCTTCTTTTTTTCCCTTGGGGGAAAAAATGGGGGCTGTTTCCTCATTTCCAATCATCAGGAACCTCACCAGACTGCCATGACATTTCAAATATCACAGAATCACAGAGTCACAGAATTGTAGGGGTTGGAAGGGACCTCCAGAGATCATCGAGTCCAACCCCCCTGCCAAAGCAGGTTCCCTACAGCAGGTCGCGCAGGTAGGCATCCAGGCAGGTCTTGAACATCTCCAGAGAAGGAGACTCCACCTCCCTGGGCAGCCTGTTCCAGTGATGATGGATATGATGGAGTGCCCTCAGAACTTGTGGATGGATCTCGTCAGGTTTGTGTTCCTTCACATTCTTTAGATGGTCTTGAGCTTGATCTTCAGGTACAGCAGGCAGATCTACCTTCTCTAAGTTCTCACCTTTGCTTTCTGCTGCCTGGGCAACGCAGCTAGAGCCCATGCTGGTGAAGACTGAGGCAAAGAAGTCATTGAGCACTTCAGCTTTCTCCATATCCCTTGTGACAAGGTCTCCATTTTCCTTCCAGAGAGGGCCCACATCCTCCCCAGCCTTTTATCACTGATACACCTGTAGAACTTCTTCTCGTTCCCCTTTATGACCCTGTCTAGATTTCATTCTGTCTGGGTTTTAGCTTTCCTAACCCATCCTTGGCTGCTGGAACAGCTTCTTTGTAGGCCTCCAGGTAACGCGTTCCTGCTTCCACTCCACCAGCAGCATGTTTTTTAATGACAACAGCAGGCAGACCAACAGAGTCATCTCTTTATTTGCTATATAATTGCATAAAACCACCCTGCAGTTGTTTTAAAACCAACTGCTACCATTCCTACCCTTTGTAACTGTGTTGCTATTGACATTAATCTGTTAATGAAATACCTGAGATGAGGAAAGTTGGATGTCCACTGTTGGCATTCCTCCTGCAGTCCCTCAACGTGGACATTTTCTTTTTGTTCATAGAGTAGCTCATCGAGTTGCCTGAACATGTTTTGAACTTGTTGCGTGGCAGCTTTATCAAATTCCTAGAAAGGAAAGCCATCCATCAAATACCTAGTAAAAAGCATTCAAAGATCATTTAAAACTTATTTTTTTCAGTTGTAAAAGATCATCTATTTGTTGAAAGCTTAGCAGGACTGATTTATACAAGCTTTTGCATGGAAAGACATTATATTTAAATAATCTGTTCCCTGGAGGTGATGCAGGCTGCTGTTAGGACTCATGGTAGGACTTAGGCTTACAAAAGAAAAGCTGTTAAAATGTTTTGAAGTGCCTGCATTAATATATAAACTTAATGACAGTGATTTATGTAAAATAAACCACAACAGGAATGACAATTCAAAGCAATATTTTTGTGGAACATATTTTAATGGAACGTGTCTTGTTTGCAATGCCCAACATGAGTCTGGTCTGAAAGACCAGGAAAGTGACCTTCTCACATTGTGAGATAACAAGTTCTCATACAGCTAAAAAATTAGGCTAGTTCTTGGGTATTTTAAATCTAATCAGTTTCCATTTTCACTCCACTGAAAGCAGTAACACACTTGGTTTTGGTAAACAGGAAATAAGAAACAAAGAAGTGATGGAGAAGCTTACTGCATTTTAGTAACCTATTTTCAACAAAGTGCAGTCCAATAAACTCACACCACGTATCTGCAAGTCATCCACTCCTGTTTTGGACTCCACAACAACAGCATTTACTATGTTGTAGTATTTTTACACATTAAGGGATTTGTATTTCCAAAGTTTTAGAGCAGAAATGCAATAAGCCTACTGTGTTTTGATATAATGTAAAGATGGGGAAAAGGCCAACAGGATGTTTTTTCTATCCCCAACATCATGATTTGAGCCAGTTCTCCCCTTTATCTTGCAATGTGTTTACAATAGTATTTCAAACATCTTCTGACTCACAGTGGTAGGTTTGTTTGGGGTGATGATGTTCTACTCACATCATAGCCCCAAGAGAAGATGGAGCTGTCCTCAGTGGAGGTGCCTGCGTAACTTGGACTAGCAGACCATGAATTCCCATCATCAGCTGAAGTAACAGAAGGGTAATCTGTTTCCTTTGAGATTCCAGATGCACTGAAATGCACATGTTGCGGGGGGGGAGGGGGAAGAAAGCACAAGCCAACAGTCACAGAAAAGCAGATACAGAGGCTGTGTTCTGAAATGATGCCGTTCTGCAGTGAAGCCCAAGCTACCGACCGCATGACTGCCATCAGTACAACTCAACACAAAGCTGATGGCTTTTCCCATGGCCTCACACAGAATCACAGAATGACCCAGGCTGGAAGGGACCTCAAGATCATGAATCTTCAACCCCCCTGCCACAGGCAAGGCCACCAACCTCCCCATTTAATACCAGACCAGGCTGCCCAGAGCCCCATCCCACCCGGCCTGGTCTCCAGAGCAAGATCTGCCTTCTGCAGTGCCACGTACCTGGCAGTCCCTGGGCATCTCTCAGAGGCAGCTGTGACAGGGCTGGGTTCTGGCAGCGGGTGGTGCCGCACGGCGTGCTGCGTCAGCCCTTGTCTGCAAGCAAGAGCAGAGCCTGACGTTACTGCAGGGAGCAGCCGCGTCGCTCCCAAGCTGTATGTGCGTTCTGGTTTTTGAGGAATGCCCCAGCTTGCATAACAGAACTTCTGGTTTTTTTCTGAACTCATTTATTCTTGTTTTTGTTTTTGTTTTTGTTTTCCGAACTCATTTATTCCTGTTAGCCTCATTCACGTTCGAATTAAGATACCAGGACAAACTCCAGGCTGGGCTCAGCATTAGAGGCCTCGGTTTGGAAACCAGCATCATCCCGTAAGGCCAAACCCCGCAGCGAGGGGCTGAGCCCCGAGAGCGGCCGTGACACAGCCATACACGGCCGTGACACAGCCGTGCCCCGCGGGGCCTCACGCTCCAACGGGACGAGAGCGGCCTCCAGCCGGAGCTGGCATTTTCTAGCCCTGAGCGCGGCCGCAGAGAGACGGTAAAGCACTCCCCACCCCGCGCATCCCTCCCGTCCCGGCCCCACCCGCGTCCCGAGCGGCGGCGGCCACTCACGGCTGCAGAGCGCCGGCGGGCACCGCTTTCCTGGCGTATCGCGAGATCATCCTCCGCCCTCCCGGGCGCCGCTTAGCGCCGCGCCGAACGGCCCGCCGCCATCACGGCGCCCCGGGGAGCGGAGCGCCGCGCGCGGCACCGCACGGCGCGATGCAGAACCGCGGAAAGGCCGCGCCGGCCGAGGACGCCGTGCGCTACCGCCTGTTCGCCGTGCCGGGGGCGGGAGGCGAGGAGCGGCTGCGGCGCTGCGCCGACGGCATCGCCGTGCGCCTGGCGCCGCTGCTGGCCGCTTACATCTGGCAGCGACAGCGCTTCCGGCTGAGATACGTGCCGCCGTGCGGTGAGCGGGACGGGAATGGGGTGGCGTGGGGTGGAATGGGATGGCATAGGATGGGACGGCATGGCATGGTACGGCATGGGATGGGGTGGGGTGGGGATGGGATGGGATGGCGTGGGGTGGGGTGGGGTGGGGTTGGGTTGGGTGGGATGGGACGGCGTGGCATGGCATGGGGTGGGGATAGGATAGGGTGCAGTGGGATGGGATTGACATGCGGAATCAAACTCTATAACCACAAAGTAGTTATAAAAGCAGTTATGTTTTAATCAATGCTGCACAGATACCGGGTGCAAGGGGGATCATTCCTCCTAACTTGCTCACCGTCTGGAAAATACTACAGATTTATGCCATACTACAGATATAGGCCAAACAATAATAACAAAACAATAATCAATAGTTTTCCTGGAATTCAGATACATATTCATTACATGCCCGAGAGCTCATTCACATGCAGACCCACCCCTCTTGCGCCTGCGTAGTGGGTCATGGGATGAAGATTTGTTGTTTTCCTCGTGAAGGCTTCTGACCTTTCGGGGAGCATCCCCCCCATACCAGTTTCTTCTTGCCCTGTGGACATCTAATCACCTCCTTGCCAAATGTCCTCAGGCTGTTGTCAAACGCTTATCTTTATGGCCTTCATCCCCCTCGCTATCCCAGACCCAGTGGTCTGCCTTCCCTTATTTTCTAACAAGCTCTACATTCTTGCTTCTGTAAACAATCTCTAACTATTCTCCTTCACCCCCCTTATTCTCAGTCACTGTGAAGCCTTCTTGCCTTCTAACTTTCGCTTATGGGGTCCTTCTCACCTTTCAGGATGGGATGGGATGGGATGGATTGGGATGGGATGGGATGGGCAAACTGAAGGACTTTCCCTACCAGGAACAGTTGTGCGATTCTGTTCCGGCAGGAGACACTCCGGAGCACATCGGCGGCACCACGCTGTTCGGGGACAACGTGGAGGACGAGTGGTTCATCGTGTACCTCGTGCGGGAGATCAGCCGCGCCTTCCCGGAGCTGGTGGCCAGGTGGGGTCCTGCCTTACTCCGCAGCGCCAGGCTGCACCCAGTGGGTGCCTTCAGCAGCTCCCTGCCTTGCGCTGTGTACAAAACTGGCTTTTCCTTGAGCAGGATCGATGACAACGATGGGGAGTTCCTGCTGATCGAGGCAGCCGATTTCCTCCCAAAGTGGCTGAGTCCTGAGAACAGCGAGAACAGGGTGAGCGTGTTGGGCACCACTTTCGATCCCTCTCACAACTCTGGCTGCTGAAAACTGCGCTTCTTTTTGCTGCGTCCTTCAGTGCTCACATGTGGGAGTTTTCAGCCTGCAGCCTTGGGTCTGCTGGAGGCTTCTTCTCAGGCACATCTCCAGCTGAAGGGAAGCTTTCAGTGTTGTCTGGTGTAAAGGAAACATTTGGCCAAACCTGGAAATTCTGGGAAGACCTTATTATGGCCTTCCAATATTTGAAGGGAGCTCATAAACAGGAGGGGGAACGGCTGTGTACGAGGGTAGATAGTGATAGGACAAGGGGGAATGGTCTTAAACTGAGACAGGGGAGGTTTAGGTTAGATTTTAGGAGGTAATTGTTCACACAGAGGGTGGTGAGGCACTGGAACAGGTTGCCCAAGGAGGTTGTGGATGCCCCATCCCTGCAGGCATTCAAGGCTAGGCTGGATGTGGCTCTGGGCAGCCTGGTCTGCTGGTTGGTGACCCTGCACATAGCAGGGGGTTGGAACTAGATGGTGATTGTAGTCGTTTTCAACCCAGGCCATTCTATGATTCTGTTGATGGGCCTCTGGGCAGCCTGAGCTGCTGGGGAGGCAGCCAATCCACAGCAGGGAGTTGGAACTTAGAGGCTTTGAGGTCCCTTCCAACCTAAGCCATTCTGTAGCTATCTGATGTACAAAACAAAACCTTGCATTGCTTGTGTGACTGTGCTTTTCCCACCTGATGAAAATGTTACTGTTTGCCAGGTGTTCTTTTACAAGGGAGAGCTGCACATCATTCCGCTGTCAGAGACAGAAGAGCAACAGTGGGAGGAGCTGCCTGCTGAAAGCCTCTCCATCTCAGAAGCATTGGCATTGTTATCTGCCCATTCGGAGAAGTTCCTGGCTGCAGAACCCATTCAAAGAGCTGTGTATAAACGTATCGATGGGTATGTGTGTGGTTTATTTGGTGTTCTGTGACAGAGAGTGCTGATTCTGGGCTGTCTGGGGAATTTCATTGTATTCAGTCATTTTCTTGTTAGCTGCAGTAGAGCTGGTTCTCTTTTAGCTAGAAGTTTTCCTGGGGCATTGTGCAACTGGGGGACCTCTGTCGTGTGAGCTGTTGTGTTATGTGGGGACTCTGGTGGTGGTTCACTGCTGGGATGCTACCCCTACCCATGGCAGGAATCACCTTCCTTCCCGTCCTTCTTTAATACTCTGATGTAGATGACAGCAGTAGTTAAAAAGGAGCGTTTGAGGCTTGCAGTGCACTGAACACAGCGTTACAATTGTGTGAACACAGATATCCTGAGAAAATCCAGGCCTCTTATCACCGAGCACACTGCTACCTCCCAGCAGGCATCGTGGCAGTGCTGAAGCAGCGCCCATCGTTGGTGGCTGCAGCAGTCGAGGCCTTCTACCTGCGGGATCCCACCGACCTGAGGGCATGTCGCTCTTTTCACACCTTCCCTCCCGAGGAGCGAGTGATGACTGTGGTAAGTGATCCCTCTAATTTAAGTTCATGTTTGTTTAGAGGTGCTGGGAACTTGGAGTATTCTTTGTGAAATCTAAAAAGTGACCCATCTTCACTCAGAGGGTAGGGGGGGATTTTCACACAGAGGGTGGTGAGGCACTGGAACAGGTTGCCCAAGGAGGCTGTGGATGCCCCATCCCTGCAGGCATTCAAGGCCAGGCTGGATGTGGCTCTGGGCAGCCTGGTCTGCTGGTTGGTGACCCTGCGCATAGCAGGGGGTTGGAACCAGATGATCATTGTGGTCCTTTTCAACCCAGGACATTCCGTGATTCTGTGATCTTAGGCAAATATATATATGTATATCCAAAATACTATCTCAGATAAGGTCAGTAATATTGATGCTTCAAAACCAAATTTGAATGGAATTACGGGAAAGTTGATGCCCATGCAGAGCACAGTTATACCACAATGAGTGTTTTTCTCTTGCTTTGGCCTTTTCAGGTTACATTCACCAAGTGCTTGTATGCACAGCTCGTGCAGCAGAAGTTTGCCCCAGACAGGCGCAGTGGATACACGCTGCCCCCTCCATCCCACCCACAGTACAAAGCCCACGAGCTGGGCATGAAGCTGGTAATTACTTTGTATGGATTTTGTACTCAGACTGTTCTGTTTGGTGTTTGATCTCAGAAGTGACTCTTTGCCTGCAGGTGGCCTGCTTGCACAAAGAAGTGTGAGCAAACAGGCAGCGACTTTTTTGTAAATGCAGTACTGTGGGGGACTACTTACAGAATAGAGCACTCCTGTGCTTCCACCTCTAGAAACCATTTTAACCAGGATTGAAGCCTCAAGGCTGGTACAACAGGTGGTGCTGTCCTGCACCTCAAATTTGGCATGAAACATGTAGAACTTGCAGCACAGAGCAAACACAGGCAAAAGCTGAGATGGGAACAGGGTGGGATTTGTCTCTTGGAAGTACAGAAGGCTCAGTGTGCCCTTGGGTCTCTGCTCCAAGCAGAAATACAGCCACATCTGAGAGCAAGTTTTCTCTTCTGAAATTGCCTGTCCTGAGGTTTGTGCCTCACCGCAGCATTTTTGTCTGAACTGCACAGCTTTGCAGGTCAGCACAGAATATAAATACAGTTGAAGTATTGGTGCTTATGCGAGCAGGAGTTGGTGAGTTATAGATCTCTCTTATAGTTTGCTTTTCAGCAGCTTTCCCTGTAGACAAACTTTGTATGTCAGATTGCAGTATCTTGCTCTGGAAGTTGCAATCTCTCTTCCTCCAGCAGTAATAAACCATTTTGATCTCACAATCAGCTTTGCTTTCTCTTTCCTAAGTGGTAAAATTGAGTGCTGAGTGATAGGGAGTTGATAGGCAGTCATTTAGAGCTGTGCTTAAATTTGTCACATCTTGAGAATATCTTCTTGTTGCATCTCTTATTTACAGGCTCATGGCTTTGAAATTTTGTGCTCCAAATGCAGTAAAGTGTCTCCAGATGTGAAGAGAAATGAGTTCAGGGGTCCCCTGTGGGAGAGGTACCTCCGCAGCCTGAAGGAAAAAGATTATTTTAAGGTGAAGTGTTGTGTCTGTGTGTATATTTTACATGATCCAGAAGAAAAAAAAAAAAAACAGCACATCTTTTAGCTCTTGAACTTGTGTAAGTATTTCTAGCAGGGCATGAAATCTAATGCTTCCACCCATGGAAAATCCATGAATATCTTCAAAGGAGGCATGTGTGGTTTGTCCCCCTTCTAAATTAATCTATTTATTTTTGGAAATTAAAATGGATTTGAGTAATTATTTGAAGTTGTCAT